ATTATCTTAAACACCCTCGACCGGCTAGATCCCGATGTTTCTCAAGCTTGATCTGCTATACGTTCAACTTTACAATAAAGCTAGGTTTCAGATTAATCTCACTTGCTTTCAGACGATAACCAATGGAGAGCAAGAATTGATGGTTTAAAGCCACAGAAAAAGGTTGAGTATTATGCTACTGTAAATAAAGTTATTGGTACCCAAACTTCCAAAGTCCAAGAATGGACTACAGGTACAATTATTATCATAAATTTAAAATTTTGGTTCATCTTTTTCTACGGTGTTCTTAATGATGGCATATTTTAAAAGTCTGGGAAGCACCTGCTTGTACAACGAATCACACAAAAGGATACGGTTTTCCACAAACATTGAACATAGTAACTGGTAAACCTAATGGAAACAACAATTCATTTCAGCATCCTTGATGCCACTTCCCCCACGAAGAATGAGGGGTGCAGTCATATTTAGGGAAGATTTTAATGGACAGCATTTGAATTTAAACAACTGGATGATCGATGTGACAGCCACTGGTGATTGGGTAGTGTGAATTTATCTCTATATTTAAAAAGGAGCTCAAGAATATGCTGGATCTCTCTCTTCCTTCAGAAGCCATCAATCAATAGACAACAATAGAGACTCATGAAAAAATATAGATGTCAGAAACCACCCAATGAAAATTCAAATTTTGGTTAGTGATTTAAATGCCATGGCTTTTTTAGAAATTGCATAACATATTTTTCTATATAGATTTATTTTATTCACATCCGTTTTCTTACACCTAGCACAACGAGTTCCAGGTTTACACAAATGACCGCAGAAATGTATATCTGAAAAACGGTCATCTCTACCTAAAACCAGTAAGTAATGTTGAGACATCCTTATTCTTTGCATAAAATGAAATAAAGAGAGCAACGAATAAAATTATTAGCTTTGTCTGATTGTCCATGAGGAAAAGCATATTTTGTCCCATTTGTGACGACGCCTATAAATGAAGTTATTTTTAAAGTATAAAATAATTTGGCATTATTTTACTGAATCGAAAGACACTGTTTAGGTGTTAAGGTTTTGCAGAAATGTCATTTCCTTTTTATCAAATGCAAGGTTGAGAGAACTGCAATTCCTCATATCACAACGGACAATGTTCGAATATATAGAATACTTATTTACTTGTGATTGATATTCTTCCTCATGTTAAAAGTATGTTTTGCCAATATGTTGTTTTGGATTTCATTTATCCTAACCATTTTGATCTAGAATAAATATGTTACTCTTGTCTTCCCTTTAGACTCTAACTATTGATAGTGGACACTTTACTGATAACGATCTTTGGCATGGTACTATGGATGTAAAAAGTAAGTGTAAATTAAATCATAAAATCAACAATGTAAAGTATGATAGTGAAAAAAATTAACTTTTATGACGCCAGACATAGATAATTTAATCAATAATAAAAATCATCAACCATAACAGAAGGAAATAATTATTGCAACCTTGTTTATCAATCTTAAAACTACTCTTATGTGACTGTGTTTGAAATGAAAATGAAATCTGTAGTTCTGGAAGGATTTTTAGTAACAGATGGTAACAACCATTAGAATAAGTTTTGTAATTTGGGTCTGAGTTGATGTTTGATAAAGGGATAAAGTTTCTACACCGAAAGATTTATGTCATATTTTACTGAAACTCAAAGAATTTATTACCACGAGAAATCAATTTTGAATTGATGCAATTTTAGAAACATGGGGAACATGTACAAACAATGGCTTCAATGGGTGTTATCGTGATTCAAAGAATGGGCTGTTACCACCAACTTGTTCTGGAAGGGTTCAAAGTAAACCAACGCTTAAATATGGTACAGTAACAATAAGAGCTCAAGTTCCTCGTGGTGATTGGCTTTGGCCAGGTAAGACTATGATATCATAAGCGAGTTACTAGAGTATGAATTTAGGCTGACTGCTTTGTGTCCTATTACGAAATGAAATCTTGTCGTAATATCACGACTGGTATGTTCCTGCCTACATATCACAGTTAAATAATTGTTTCTTTTATTCCAACGACCACAGTTAAATCATTATTCTTTTCCAAACGACCACATAAATTCCACAGTTATACCATTATGTTTTATATCTTTTTTATTGGATTTCCTTCTCTTTAGCTATTTGGTTGATGCCTAAAAAAAGTGTGTATGGTGGGTGGCCAAAGTCTGGTGAGATTGATATGATGGAGGCAGCAAGTTAGTATTCTTCTCAAACAATGCTACTTCTTATGAAATACGAATACTGGCATGTTCAATTTTACTTTAGCATTTAATATCTGGGCATTGGATTCTCTTAAGTTCCAATTAACATTGTTTAAATAAACAGAATTCGCACTGTTAGACATACATTATAACTATTAATTCTTACAGGCAATGAGTTTATGGAATGGGGTAATGGTCAGAAAGTTGGCGTTCAAAGGGTTACTGGTAGTTTTCACATGGGACCCGCATTTACAGCTGATCACCATGTAACTGGAGCTCAGTAAGTCGCCACTTTTCCTAATACAAAAGATAGTGATAAATTCAGAATCAATAATCAAATTACGGTGTTGAATTGTAAGAAGTCTCTTTTCTCACTTTCAGATTAATCCATTTACAATCTCAAAAATTATGCACATTTCTTGAACATAAAAGTTTATGTGAGGTTGCACTCTTAGTTCTCCAGTTAAGGATTTACTCAAATAATATGTATTAATAATAACATAATTCAATATTTCTTTTGCAGGTATAAGAAACAAGGAGATTGGCATGGTTTTCATACGTACAAATTGGAGTGGACTCCCGACCGTCTTATGTACGCAAGTTTTTTAACACTTTTTATAACGAAATGTGCCTCGTTCGCATGTAAAACTAATTGTCTATGATTCCAATTTCCCCACCTACCCAACTCTTCATTAAATCAAAAAGATGTCAGCTTCGGCGCCAATTGCTAGTCAAATATGGATTCAAATTATGAAATGATTTTTAAAGATTGAATTTTGTTAATTACAGATTATATGTAGACAATCTTCAAATCACCAGAATGGATATATCTAATGGATCTACCGTTTGGAAGCATTTCAACTTCCATGGCAACAATCCATGGACACATGGCTCCAAAATTGCTCCATTTGATCAGGAGGTATGTTTGATCTTTTTGCTCCAGTCCTCTGATTTGTCAAACTCTGAAATCGATTTTAAATCTATAGTATTATTATTACTATATATTATTATTATTACTATATTTCTTGAAATCTGAATTTTTATGTTATCGAGAATAAGGCCCAGAAGGTTAATTTATTTTTCTTTGTATAGAAGTGACAAAACCAACAAAAAATTAGTAGCCAAACTTCTTTCAATTATCCAGCTCTATTCCCTTCTTTATGAGACCAATAAGGTGCAGACGAGTTTGACGTAAAACTTCACACATTTTATTTTCAGTTCTATTTGATATTGAATAACGCTGTTGGTGGATCTCCGGGTATATTTGGTGATAGTACTAAATACGCCTATCCTAAACCATGGAAGAATAATGCAAAAAATCCCCTGGCAGATTTCTGGAACGCAAGAAACCATTGGTTACCAACGTGGCATGGTGATGATGTGGCTATGCTTATTGATTATGTTGAATTCAGACATCTATAATTGATAAATACAATAAACAAATATATAATGAAAGAATGAATCTCTTTGTATTTGGCTCTTCTCTTCATAAAGTTACTATAGTAATGACACACATGAACGTAAATAATATCTGGGACTGACTGAAAACACGTTTAAAGAAAGATATGACAACCATATGCAGTCGTTTAAACATCAAAAATGTGAAAATAACTTTACACAAATAAAACCAAACGATGAAACCTTTGTCTAAACGAAAAGCTTTTCATCATAATGCCCCCAAGAAAACATCTTTAAACAAACGATCCGAGAATAACATGAAAGTAAATTCTACTTGTCCAACTTCAGTAGGGACACAAGCTGAATTATATAGGTCGGGTCGCATAGCGTGAGTAACAGCTATATGTATTTTAGGTTCTGTTTTAATATTTCTATATCATTCTTCAATTGATGTATTGAGCACTATTTAAACAGTTAAACTATTCTATCATTGTAATAATATCAACATATCATTACGAGCCAAAGAGTTACTGCTGGGTACACCAACGACCCTAAACTACGTCTATTTAAACAAGGTAATAAGCATGTAAATCTTTCATAGACACTTAATATATATCTAAGCCTTTTATAGCCACCATCCGCGGAACGTTGTACCATTGACGAAAACAAAACATTAAACATGGGTTTCCTTATTTTTATGTGTCAAATTAAGCAAACTAAATGTTGTTTCTAAAGAATTATCATTTTTCTTAATCATATCATTATGTTCTTATTGCATATAATTAAGTTTTAACCAATCATAAATGTTCAAGAATGTAGAGTCTAGATAAACAAAAAGAGACGTTTTGACCTTTCTTGATCGGTCACTCATGGGAATTTTGCTAGTGATTCTCTTCTAATTTAGCTAATTGTGAATCAATTATGCACAAACTGGTAATTTCTAAGTCATTAGAACACCTCTACCTTCCATTCACATAAGTATAAGCATTTTTATTTTCATAAATTTCATAAATGAAAATGAGAGAACCCATCTTTAAGATTAAGCGTAATGAGGCAACGTGGTATTTATTTGTAATTATTGTCATATTAAACCGTCTTCATATACAATAAAATACTACATGCATTTGATCTATGAAATATAATCTGTTTTAGAAATATATGACTTAAAATCAGAAATACATATAAGTACAGTGGTCTCTGTTGAATAATAGAATTGGATAGATATCAATTTCAAAACAATAGTAACCAAGCAAATGTTTAAAGAGACTATTTCTTCATCTTTAGTCTCAAACACCTACTTTCAGTGATGATCTATGCTTCATTACCAATGAAGCTGTGCTAGTGAAGAATGTTTATCAGAAACATGCGTCGGCAGCACCAGTTGAACTCTCGTAAACTTGAAACGTCGTGCAAAGTTTTTCTCCTGGGACTAAAATCTATGTCCCAAGACAAAGGTCTGTTTCTGTTGTCTATAGTCCTATCATAAGTAATTTTAGTGAGTAAACATATGTAAAAAACCAAGGGTGAGAGCGAAAGTACAGTTGCTCCTACCTTCTGATAGACGCAAAGTCAATCTGCGCCCTCGCCCTTTTAAAATGATCTAGTTATGTTGACCTTCTGTTGATGGTTATTGTCAAGAACACCATGTATCCACTATGAAAACTGACTTCTCACTCAGCTTGATGGGAATAATACCATATATAATTTATACTGGAATTCTGCATTTAATATGTATTTTCTTTTGAATAAGAAATTATAGGATAGCATATCTCGCTCATAATTTTGTCTTGAATGTCTTCTTTAACATGCCCCTTTGTTGATAATTGCTAAGACAACGTATTCATATTTGGTAGCCTACATAAAGACGAATAAACAAGACACATAAATACAAGGCAAAACTAACAAAGTTAAATTAACATAATTTTTAGTTTTGTTCAACAAACATGATTTCCAGATTGTAATAATCGTAGGAGTGCTTGGTAAGTTTTATTTTTTTTATTTTTAAATATCTGAAGCATATACAACTTTAATTTACAACAATATTCGTCACTAAACACAAAATGTAATGTGCATTGTCAATTAATTAAATTATACATTTTAAACAAGATAAATGAAAAGTTATTTAAAATTAAGGATATGTGTATATATATTAGTTTGTGTCCAATCTCAAAGTAGGCAAACTGGCTTAGTCGTTCGAATATTTCCTTTATTTTTTACTCCCTCATGAAATGGAAAGGGGGGGGGGGGCGTATTTGCCTTCACCCGACCACTTGGCACTTGGTGTGATCATTTGTAATCACCCAAGGATGAACCCTGTCGAAAATCGAAACTTCGAAAAATATTTAGTATGAGTTATTGCCCTTGTACTTGGAAACACGTTCAATTTTTAGCTCGTAAACACTCCAGAAGGCACAATTCTTGACGGATTTAGATGGAACTTGGTGGAGTGTTAGTAATAACCCAGAATGAACCCTAATGAAAATTTAGAAAAATAATTGGTATGAATTATTGCCCTTGTTCTTGAAAGTGCGTTCCATTTTTAACACCCAAGAAGGCACAATTCTTGACTGAGTTTGACGAAACTTGGTGTGAGTGTTTGTTATCAACCAAGGATAAATCCTATAGAAAATCAGAAGAATCTAAAAATAATTAGTTTGAGTTATTGCCCTTGTTCTTAAAAATGCGTTCAAGATTTAGCCTGTAAACTGAAAATTGGGTCAAAATTGTTGATTGTACTTGGTTCTTTTAGAATGTAGTTAAAATGGATAGAAAATTGTATTCACTATTAAGTAACTACAGAAAACGTTTGTTATAATTGTTTTTTTTTAGGCCTAGTAAACAGTCAAAGTGTAAATATTGATACCAGTACATGCACTAGCTTCAATGCTACTGTCAAAAAGTGTACAGATGATTACCCCTTAAGTTATATTCTAGATAAATCAACCATCGTATTACTGTAAGTAAAGTATATTCAGATCCATTCTTCTCGAATTCAAGCATGTTTCCGCCATCTTCACAATGTCAAGCTATTACAACTGAGTCCTATACCTTGACTGCAATGGCCACCTTTCATGTCTCATAGAAGTTTATAAATGCATCGATTTGATTGCTTGTACGCTAGCGTGTACAGCCGGGGGCCTCGACAGAAAGTCTGTAAACATTAAGCTGATTGGCTGTGTTTACTATAGCGTATAATCACTACATCAGTGATGTTATTAAGATTCTTTGCAACAAAAAGTCGTTAAGACGGGACAATAATCTAAGGTTTTGATACAGGCTGTAGCGAACATGATAATGATCCTTCGGTGGTTGGAAATTAAAACAAGTAGACTAAAGCTACTCTTCTGGCAAAATCACTCTTATCGCAAACAGTATGGCGTCGTATCTTCAATAAATTTGTACAGAAAAAAACGACGTCAAACTTTTCATTCCATACCTCGGCTACCTGAGAATTGTCATAATAATGTTCATATTAATCAATTTCAGCTTAGATAAGGCGAATTTTAAGAGTCGAATTGCATGTTTTATAACAGCATATAGAACATGTGCAAGTGACGAATTTCAAAGTCTGTTTGCTTCTGGTGAATCTTATAAACAGGCTTTTGACGAGATCTGCAAGGATAAGGACAGTAAGTCACAGAATATTTTTGATAAACTCAAAACACTCATTATAAAAGCTTATCTCACATATCACAGACATGTGCATAGTGCTGACCATCTTACTATCCAACCTCTCATCTTGCCAATTTATGATCATATCGCTCTTCAAGTGTATCTAAGATACTTCAGTAACACCTGTTCATGCACACAGCCTTATGACCAGCTAGTTCTTCTCGGGAGTGGCATAGACAAGTCTCATCGACACAATGGATGGCTGGTAGCTCTGCATGTAGAAAGGAATTTAAATATGTACATTTTCCGATATTCTAATTATACTGGGACCACTTTGTTTTAACTTCCTTGCTTTTAATTCAGAATGTCTTAGACAGTTTTTAGCTTATTCAGAAAGTTCGCATTACAAGTTAGATTCTCCCGGAATGTTGAAAAGAAATCCGGTTGATACTATTTCTTATCTACACTATAAACTTTTTAACCTTGTAGATTTTAATGCAACGTGTACGTATAATGCTAATTCCTGTGCTAGTATTTCATTTGGTGGGCAAAATTTAATTCCACCAAACAAATATACAACATTCTCAGGTCACAAGACTTTTTACTGCGGGTGAGTATTTTCCATTTTACCTCCCCATCTTAATAATGGTCAAGCTATGATGAAATTTGTATGACAAGTTGGCTGTATTCGCAAACGTGCATTCCAACCTATCAAACAAATCTTTGAATTTACATACTTTTGTGGTACAAGAAAGGTGGCTTTTGCAGTCAAGGTATAGCGTGACATTTTGTGGATTATACCTTTCCCATGATATAATTAAGTGATAATAATATTGTCATGGTATGATGATGCCACACAAAAAAATTGGAGTCCTCAAAGCTTATATAGCTCATTTGGTATGTATTTTAAACACCAACAAGTACAAAGACCGAGTTCATTCATCTACCTATTAGCTTAAAAGTCCAGGCCAAGTACTTTATTGAATTATACTGTGGTGGGCCAGCAGGCCATGCTCATCATTCCTTGATACTTGATACTACTTTTTTGTACACAATATTTCATTCACATAAACATATCAAAAGGATTGGGGAACAGGGTTTCGCCTTGATACTATTTGGCGATTGAGTTTATCATCTCAGCTTGTCGTTCAGCTAATTCTATTTATTTGGTACATTACAACAACAGGCCGGTGACTCTGCTGCTAGACACGATGTTCTCGATTTTCAACCTATACTTTGCACGTACAATTACTTTATTTATCATGTTCATATATACAAGTATTATATATAAAATATAATTTGTTATCAATTACCGTTTATTTTTTACTTCAGATACACGAAAATATTCAAAACCTGTTTAGAAACAGATACCGTATTATCAAGTTGTCCCCAGTCTCAATGAAAGAAAGTCATGCTGTATATTATAGATAAACTTGCTCCCCCAGCTTGTTCTACGGGAACATCTTTGGTTTTGAACTTAAGTCTGTTTATTGTTTCTGTTTTATTGTCGATTTTTAAGTATAGCTATTGAAACATTCTTACATGGTCATGCAAATGCGATCTGTCTTTACGCTTTTTTAAAAGGGATTTTAATGAGTGAATATATAACTTTTTTTTTCATTTGCCAGTGTATATTCTTTATTATTATTGAAATAACGCTAACTATTGAAAGGAAAAGTCCAGAAATTGTAATATTTTTATGAAAACCTCCGTTCGAACATGAACATGAACATGGAAATAACAGCAATAAACGTTGTAACCTTGTGCCATCTTTTCATTAATATTTTTACCACATGAACGAATCATTGATAATAGTCTTGGTATAAGCCAGGATTTTTTGGCCTTTTTGTTTCTTTTACCCTTTTTCAGGACCCTTGATCAATTGAATTACCCCGCACCCCTATAAATCCTTTCTATTAAGTGGGTGTGGACCATACCCCTGGGATTTTTTAACATGTGGTCTCCTGCCAAGTCAATTTAAATTTAAAGATATAAAGATTTTCAGTCTGTATGTACTGCTTTTTCTTAGGGTTGGAGCCCGTGAACATAGTTCAACCAGTCCCTATGGTTGTTGAGCCACTGATATCCCCCACCCTTTCCCCTAATAAGTCCTTACCATAACCCCCATTTCCTGGGGGTAATTATTCCCAGGTTAAAAACCCCTGGTTTAAGCTGTAGCTATGTACCTTTGTACATCAGTTTAGGATTGAGTTAACAAAGCGTAAGATTGTCTGCTTTAATAATAAAGAAAAGTTTTAGAATATGTTTTGTTTTGTCACGCTAACTATTGAAAGGAAAAGTCCAGAAATTGTAATATTTTTATGAAAACCTCCGTTCGAACATGAACATGAACATGAACATGGAAAAAAACCTGACGCACTGGCTGAACTTGCCGGAAATTATTTTGGTCCAAGCATGAAGTCATCTGGCGTCAGTAGCGTCAATCAAAGATTTTTCTCGCTGGTCGTCCACACGACTATGTCTCATTCATTTATCCAGCAAATTGTCTTGTTGCAAATTATATTGCGATTAGATATTTTTGTTTTAATGGTATTTTTCGTTAAGAAACTTATTTAAACTATAATGATCGATAATATGATATTTGTAACTATTTGTGCGAAGATTTTTGTCAATTGTTTTGTATGTGAAGTCTTCTTGGATTGAGATGGGTTTAATTAGATTTAAACTATTTCATGTCTTTTTATCTCCCTTTTATTATCATTATTATTAAATGCAATTAAAGTGATCATCTTTATAAAATTTTTAGTTTCTTTTACTTTCTCCAGATGGAGGCCTAGGGTCGAATTTCTACGTGTTTTTTTTTTGATACGTAACGTTTATCGTGAACTATCAACTTACGAGCTATTGCAGTCTCGTGTGCGTTTTTCAAAAGTGTCCAACACTTGCATTTTATATGTTTAAAGAGTTGATTGGACATTTGCAACTTGTTTTTTGGGTTGTGGTTTTTAACAAAGTTCCAATGCTGAACTTACGGCGATGATCGGCAAAGACTTTTTATACAGTAGAAAAAGTATTCATTACAGCTCATTTCACGCTGCCGACACTGGTTTCCAATTAAGACAATTTGGTTAATACAAATCTCGTCCAAAGCATTGCAAAATCCGGAATAAAAGTTGTATAATATTGGAGTCCTCAATAGAGAGGTACAGGTATTTCGAAAAGAGTAAGCAAAGCTTATGCGTAGCGTATTAAACAACCAGAAAAGGGTAACCATATCGGACTACAGTTAACTTATCATGAAGGACCCTCAACTCAAATCGTATAGATTATAGCCGACACGTGCTTCGAAAAGACAATCTTCATCAGGATAATTTTGATTTTTATTGAAATGTTACTTATCACGCGCATTTTGCCTGTAAGTCCTCTAGTGAAATCAATATGAAATGATTTCATAGATGGTCAAACCTTGAGCTACATTACAAATCATTCAAGGTTGCAAAAATGTTGATGGGAAATTGACCAGATGCTTATCAGGTTTTAACAGTATGGATAGATATAAATATTTACATTCAATCTATAAGCTTACCAATTCTCAAGCGTTAACTTGCAGTAAAGATGATACTCCGGTCTATAATTGTTTTGTTATTGTCAGTGTATTTTGTTATTGCTATCGATGACCCCCAATATATACAAACATCCGATGGTGGAGAGATTTCATTGAAAAGTAAGCTAATTTCTCCATATGTTTCCAAAGCATTTCTGAAGTTTTAGGAAAACTGTTTAGAAAGTCAATTCTTTTCTATTTTTTTTTTCAGATGAGAATTCAATTGTAAATGTTGCCTTTACTTACTCTCCTGATGGTGATCTGCTATGTGTTCAACTTATTATATTCAAAGCGAAGTTTACAATAAAGCTAGGTCTCAGATTAATCTCACTTGCTTTCAGACGATAACCAATGGAGAGCAAGAATTGATGGTTTAAAGCCACAGAAAAAGGTTGAGTATTATGCTACTGTAAATACTGATATTGGTACCCAAACTTCCAAAGTCCAAGAATGGACTACAGGTACAATTATAATCATACATTGAAAATTTTGGTTCATCTTTTTCTACGGTGTTCTTAATGATGGCATATTTTAAAAGTCTGGGAAGCACCTGCTCGTACAACGAATGACACAAAAGGATACGGTTTTCCACAAACATTGAACTTAGTAAATGAAAACAACAATTCATTTCAGCCTCCTTGATGCCACTACCCCCACGAAGAATGAGGGGTGCAGTCATATTTAGGGAAGATTTTAATGGACAGCATTTGAATTTAAACAACTGGATGATTGATGTGACAGCCACTGGTGATTGGGTAGTGTGAATTTATCTTTATATTTGAAAAGGAGCTCAAGAATGTGCTGGATTTCTCTCTTCCTTTAGATTATCTAATTATCTAATTAATTGTTATCAACTATAGAGACTTGTGAAAGAATATATATCTGTCAGAAACCTCCGAATGAAATTCTAATTTTGGTTATCATTTAAATGCCATGGCTTTTTCAGAAATTGCAAAATACATTTTTCTATGCAGATTTGTTTTATTCCTACCATACTTTTCTTACATCTAGCACAACGAGTTCCAGGTTTACACAAATGACCACAGAAATGTATATCTGAAAAATGGTTATCTCTACCTAAAACCAGTAAGTAATGTTGAGACATCCTTATTCTTTGCATAAAATGAAATGAGGAGGACAACTAATAAAATTACCAGCTTTGTCTGATGTCCATGAGGATAAGCATATTTTGATCCATTTGTAAGAGCGCTTATGAATGAAGTTATTTTTAAGTATAAAATAATTTGACATTAATTTACTGAACTAAAAGACATTGTACTATTAGGTTTTTCAACAAAGTCCTTTTTATCTAATACCAGGTTGAGAGAACTGCAATTCCTTGTAATAAGAACTTAAAATGTATATATTATAATGTGATTATATGAAATACTTACTCACTTGTGATTGATATTCTTCCTCGTGTTAAAAGTTAATAAGCTGTAAAATATGTTGTGTCAATATGTTGTTTTGGATTTCGGGTTTCATTTTGCGGTTCGGATCGTTAACACTTGGTTTATGTATTTTGACCTAGAAGAAAATATGATACTCTGTATCTTCCGTTTAGACTCTAACTATTGATAGTGGACACTTTACTGATTACGATCTTTGGCATGGTACTATGGATGTAAAAAGTAAGTGTAAATTAAATCCTAAAATCAACAATTTAAAGTATGATAGTGAAAAAAATTAACTTTTATGACGCCAGACATAGACAATTTAATCAATAATAAAAATCGTCAACCATAACAGAAGGAAATAATTATTGCAACCTTGTTTATCAATCATAAAACTACTCTTGTGTGACTGTGTCTGAAATGAAAATGAAATCTGTAGTTCTGGAGGTTTTCTTTAGTAGCAGATGTTAACAAACCATTGGGATAATTTTTCTTAATTTGAGTCTTGAGTCTATATTTGATAAATGGATAAATTTTACACACCGAAAGATTTATGTCGAGAAATCAATTTTGAATTGATGCAATTTTAGAAACATGGGGAACATGTACAAACAATGGCTTCAATGGGTGTTATCGTGATTCAAAGAATGGGTTGTTACCACCAATTTGTTCTGGAAAGGTTCAAAGTAAACCAACGCTTAAATATGGTACAGTAACAATAAGAGCTCAAGTTCCTCGTGGTGATTGGCTTTGGCCGGGTAAGACTATGATATCATAAGCAGTTTACTAGAGTATGAAATTAAGACTGATTTGCCTACTATTACGGGATGAAATCAGGTTGTAATGTAATGCCTACAGATCACAGTTAAATAATTGTTTCTTTTCCTAACGACCAGAGTTATACCATTATGTTTTATCTTAAGCTATGTGGTTGATGCCTAATAAAGCTGTGTATGGTGGATGGCCAAAGTCTGGTGAGATTGATATGATGGAAGCAACAAGTTAGTATTGCTTTTCAAACAATGTTATGAAATACGAACACTCGCATGTCCAAGTACTTTAGCATCTAATATCAAGGAAAATGTATTCCGATTTCTAATTAACACTGTTAAAAGAAAGAATTCGCACTGTTACACATATACTATAACTATCAATTCTTACAGGCAATGAGTTTATGGAATATGCTAATGGTCAGAAAGTTGGCGTTCAAAGGGTAACTGGCAGTTTTCACATGGGACCCACACGATTAGCTGATCACCATGTAACTGGAGCTCAGTAAGTCGCCACTTTTCCTAATACAAAAGATAGTGATCAATTGAGAATCAATAATCAAATTACGGTGTTAATTCGTTAAGAAGTCTCAATACTTACTTTCCAAAGACCATGTGCATGTCTACAACATAAAAGTCAATATAGGCGAGAGGGGCTACAAAGTCCAAAGAAGACATTAGTTCTTCAGTTTAGGATTTTACTCGAATAATATGTATTAAAATTAACATAATTCAATATTTCTGTTGCAGGTATAAGAAACAAGGAGATTGGCATGGTTTCCATACGTACAAATTGGAGTGGACTCCCGACCATCTTATGTACTTAATTTTTATAACACTTTTTATAACGAAATGTGCCTGGTTCGCACACAAAACGAATGGACATTGGCTATGATTCAGAACAAAGCTATTCCAATTTCCCCACCTACCCAACTCTTCATTAAATCAAAACGATGTCATATCAGAAGGTCAACTGGAACCAAGTATCGCCTTAGATCAAATGATTTTTAAAGAGTGGATTTTGTAATTACAGATTATATGTAGACAATCTTCAAATCACCAGAATGGATATACCTAATGGATCTACCGTTTGGAAGCATTTCAACTTCCATGGCAACAATCCATGGACACATGGCTCAAAAATTGCTCCATTTGATCAGGAGGTATGTGTGATTTTAGTGCTTTGATTTGTCAAACTCTGAATCTATTTTAAATCTATACTATTATTCAATCAGATTTCTATATTTCTTAAAATCTACATTTTTATGTTTTCGAGGATAAGACCCTTTGCTTAAAATCTGCGTTTCGATTCTCCGTTAAGGTTAATTTATTTTTCTATGGAAGTGACAAAACATAAAATTAGTAACCACATTTCCTTCAATTCTCCAGTTAGATTTTCTACTTCCGACTTCATTAGACCTATAAGGTGCAGATGTGTTGGACGTAAAACTTCATTCATTTGATTTTAGTTTTATTTGATATTGAATAACGGTGTTGGTGGAACTGCGGGTATATTTGATGATAGTACTAAATACGCCTATCCTAAACCATGGAAGAATGATGCAAAAAATCCTCTGGCAGATTTCTGGAACGGTAAAAACCATTGGTTACCAACGTGGCATGGTGATGATGTGGCTATGCTTATTGATTATGTTGAATTCAGACATCTATAATTGATAAATATAATAAACAATTATATAATGAAAGAAAATTATATTAAATGATGTTAGTACATTATAATTGCTCTGAAGATTATTTTTTACCGGAGACCGTCATGTTAAGAGCTATATAATTTTATCAATTCCAAAAATTTACATGGGAACAAGATATTGAGCCAGAACTCGATATTAGTGTTGGATTAGTACATAAGTGTTGCACTAGAGTCTAACCTCGATGTAAAGAGTTACATGACAATGAGATAACACTACCCTTTGAAGTATTGAGGAACAATTTAACACCAGTTTTAATCTAGCGGTACTTTAGTGTTCCAATAATCCATACACGGTGTTTCACAACATTGGTTTAGCATGAGTTTCTCTCTCCCTTTAACACTAACCCCTAGAGGTTTATGATAGTTGCATATTCAAAAAACTAAGAACTTAAATGATAATATTGTTCATAGTAAACTAAAAACAATCAGTACATAATAGATACTATTCTTCTCGCCCATTGGCCGAGTTATTGTTTCTAATTTCAGATCATAAACAGAAACAGAAGAAAACCCAGTATCAGGGGCCCTAATCCCAATTTATAATAAAGTATCTGTTCCACGCTATGCCTATACATTTGGGAGAATCAAACCACCCCTTCCCCGAAAACTAACCCCCAGCTCTGACCTCACTCCTTTGGCCCATCTCTTCCTAAAGTTAGTATAACAAATGAACGTGAACAATATCTAGGACTGACTGAAACGTTTATACAAAGATATGACAACTATATACAGTCGTTTAAACATCAACAAAATGAAAATAGTACAGATATCTCAAAGCACATTTGACAACCTAAACAGAAATATAATAATTACCAAATATCCTGGTCCATTCACAGCAGAGCTAAAGCCTACACAAAGAAAACCAAACGATGTAACCTTTGTCTAAACGAAAAGCTTTTCCTCATTAATGCCCCAAGAACACTTCTTTAAATGAATGATCCGAGAATAACACGAGAATAGGTTCTACTTGTCCAACTTCAGTAGCTGAATTATATAGATCGGATCGAATAGCAACAGCAGCAACATGTTTTTTTATGTCCTGTATTAAAATTTCTGTATCATTCTTCAATTGATGTATTATCACTATCCACGGAACGTTGTACCTTTGACGAAATCAAAACCTTAAGATTATGCGTAATGACGCAACGTGGTATTGTTGTTTAATTATTGTCATAGTCAAGCGTCTTAATGCACACATTTAATAACTACGTTCATTTGATCTATGAAATATAATCTGTTTTAGAAATATATGACTTAAAACAGATAAACATGTTATAACGGTGGTCTTTGTTTAACAATAGAATTGAATACAATACATAACATTTCAAAAGAATGTAACTACGCAATTGTTTAAAGAGACTTTATACATGATTAATCTTACATTCAGTGATGCTCTGAGCTTCAAGTCCAATTTTGTTAGTTAAAACTGCATTATCATATTTTAGGAGTGGTTATCAGAAACAAGCGTCGAGAGCACCAGTAGAACTGTCGTAACCTTGAAACTGTGGACAAAGTTTTACCCCTGGCACAAACGTCTGTTTGTAATAGTCTATAGTCTCATCATAAGTAATTTGTGTAGCATAATATTAGTGCGTCCTCTTAAAATCATCTAGTTTATGTTGACATTCTGTTGATGGTTATTGTCAAGAACACCATGTATCCACTATGAAAACTCGACGTTTCACTCTGCTTGATGGGAATAATACCATATATAATTTATACTGGAATTCTGCATGTTATATTCTGAACAAGATCATTTTTCAAAACAAACCTGCTTTTTGACAGTTTTTTTTATGAATGGAAACTGTGCAATAGGTTGGTGTCTCTCCAATTTTGTGGTCATTCATTGGAAGTCGGCATGTTTGTGCCTTTAGCCAATAGGACTGTCACATAGCCATGTATGGAATTTATTTACATTTTCCAAATATTTCAAATGATTTACAATGAGTTAAAATGAATCAACTGTTTAAATTACTTAAATTGTTATCTTATATGAAATTTTGTTTACATGGATAATATTTTAATATCAAATGATACAAACTTGTTTAAGGTTTTAACGATTTAACATATTACTCCGCTAAATCTATTTGTATTCCGATGTTTTATTTTTAAGGTGACGCGTTCAATTTACCACATTAAGAAACTAACATTACTGAATTTTGTTGTTAATTTTTAAACAAACGAAGAAACCTTGTACAATCTTTATATCCGACCATGATTTTGACAAAAGCAAATAAAAATGTAATTCAGATTGTGCCAGACAATGCTTCTTATATCAGTATATATTAAAGCGTATTTTTAAAAATCATTCAACTATGCCGATCAATAGTAAATATTAGCATAACGGCCATGTTAGGTCATTGTTCAGATTTTCACTTTTTTCAGGTACCATCAGGTATTTCTAAAAAAAAGTAAGCAAAGCTTATGCGTAGCGTATTAAATAACCAGAAAAAGGTCACCATATCGGGCTGCAGTTAACTAATCATGAGTGTTAGTAGGAATGAGAAGGAGGACCCTCAACTCAGATCATATAGATTACAGCTCATAACATGCGCATTTTGCCTGATAGGTAATTTAGTGAAATCAATATGAAATGATTTCATAGATGGTCAAACCTTGAGCTACATTACAAATCATTCAAGGTTGCAAAAATGTTGATGGGAAATTGACCAGATGTTTATCAGGTTTTAACAGTAGGGATAGATATAAATATTTACATTCAATCTATAAGCTTACCAATTCACAAGCGTTAACTTGCAGTAAAGATGATACTCCGGTCTATAATTGTTTTGTTATTGTCAGTGTATTTCGTTACTGCTATCGATGACCCCCAATATATACAAACATCCGATGGTGGAGAGATTTCATTGAAAAGTAAGCTAAGTTCTCAATATGTTTCCAAGGCATTTCTGAAGACATGTATTTATGTTTTAAAATGCAGTACATTGTATTTTGTATTTTAGCGTCTTTATTTCCAACATCCCGTGCGGTTAGTTTTCGAAGTAATTCGCAGCGGTTTTATGATTTTCTCTATGAACAGGTTTCTTTGTTGTAATGTTTCATAATATCGCGGTTTGACTAAAAGTTTTATGAAAACTGTTTAGAAAGTTAATTTTTCTAATCCTTTTGAGTGATTCTCAAAATTTGATCATAGTTTCTATATTTTTTTTCAGATGAGAATTCAATTATTAATGTTGCCTTTACTTACTCTCCTGATGGTGTTGAAGCTCAAACTGTGAATGCAGAACTTGGTGGTATGAAGTTATAAAATGTTAAAATTTATCAAATCCTGCAAGAAAAGCCAAAAAGAAATATATAATTTACCCGAATGTAATAAATTCTACAAAATGAAAATTTTCTCACAAATAGCTCGGACAATTGGTATATGAAATTCTTACTTTGAAGACCATCATGACGAAGTAGTGTAATGTACATAGCATAGAAATGACATGATATGATATGAATTGGAGTTTTATATCCTACTCATGTGTACGAACATTTTTCCATTCATTGTCCAAAACACCCTGGACCGGCTAGATCCCGATGTGTCTCAAGCTTGATCTCTTATGCGTTTAACTTATATTGAAAGCGACGTTTACAATAAAGCTAAGTTTCAGATTAATCTGACTTGCTTTCAGACGATAACCAATGGAGAGCAAGAATTGATGGTTTAAAGCCACAGAAAAAGGTTGAGTATTATGCTACTGTAAATACTGATATTGGTACCGAAACTTCCAAAGTCCAAGAATGGACTACAGGTACAATTATAATCATACATTGAAAATTTTGGTTCATCTTTTTCTACGGTGTTCTTAATGATGGCATATTGTAAAAGTTTAATACAATTTCCACAAACATTGAACTTAGTAACTGATAAACCTAATGGACGTAATAATTTATTTCAGCCTCCTTGATGCCACTTCCCCCACGAAGAATGAGGGGTGCAGTCATATTTAGAGAAGATTTTAATGGACAGCATTTGAATTTAAACAACTGGATGATTGATGTGACAGCCACTGGTGATTGGGTAGTGTGAATTTAACTCTATATTTAAAAAGGAGCTCAAGAATGTGCTGGATTTCTCTCTTCCTTCAGATTATCTAATTATCTAATTAATTGTTATCAATTATAGAGACTTGTGAAAGAATATACATGTCAGAAACCTCCGACAGGGAATTTGAATTTTGGTTATTGATTTAAATGTCATGGGTTTATTCCTAACATCCCTTTTCTTACACCTAGCACAACGAGTTCCAGGTTTACACAAATGACCACAGAAATGTATATCTGAAAAACGGTCATCTCTACCTAAAACCAGTAAGTAATTTGAGATACCTATCCTTATTCTTTGCATAAAATGAAATGAAGAGAGCAACGAATAAAATTATCAGCTTTGTCTGATGTCCATGAGGATAAGCATATTTTGATCCATTTGTAAGAGCGCTTATGAATGAAGTTATTTTTAAGTATAAAATAATTTGCATTAATTTACTGAACGACTGACTACTAAAAGACTCTGTACTGTTAGGTTTTTCAACAATGTCTTTTTTTTTTATCTAATACCAGGTTGAGAGAACTGCAATTCCTTGTAATTAGAATATAATATATATTATAATGTGATTATATGAAATACTTACTCACTTGTGATTAATATTCTTCCTCGTAATAAGCTAATAAGCTGTTAAATATGTTGTTTTGAATTTCGGGTTTCATTTTGCGGTTCGGATCGAAAACACTTGGTTTATGTATTTTGACCTAGAAGAAAATATGATACTCTGTGTCTTCCCTTTAGACTCTAACTATTGATAGTGGACACTTTACTGATAACGATCTTTGGCATGGTACTATGGATGTAAAAAGTAAGTGTAAATTAAATCCTAAAATCAACAATTTAAAGTATGATAGTGAAAAATTTTTGTTTATCAATCTTAAAACTACTCTTGTGTGACTGTGTCTGAAATGAAAATGAAATCTGTAGTTCTGGAGTTTTTTTTTAGTAGCAGATGTTAACAACCAATAGAATAAGTTTTGTAATTTGGGTCTGAGTTGATGTTTGATAAATGGATAAAGTTTATACACCGAAAGATTTATGTCATATGTTATTGAAACTCAAAGAATTTATAACCACGAGAAATCAATTTTCGATTTGAATTGATGAAATTACAGAAACATGGGGTACATGTACCAACAAAGGCTTCAATGGGTGTTATCGTGATTCAAAGAATGGATTGTTACCACCAATTTGTTCTGGAAAGGTTCAAAGTAAACCAACGGTTAAATTTGGTACAGTAACAATAAGAGCTCAAGTTCCTCGTGGTGATTGGCTTTGGCCAGGTAAGACTATGATATCATAAGCGGGTTACTAGAGCATGAAATTAGGCTGACTGTTTTGTGCGTATTACGTAATGAAATCAGGTCGTAATGTCACGATTGGTATTTTCCTGCCTACATATCACAGTTAAATAATTGTTTCTTTCCCAACGACCACAGTTAAATCATTATTTCTTTTCCAAACGACCACATAAATACCAAGGTTCTACCATTATGTTTTATCGTTTTTACTTTTCTTTTCTTCCCTTCAGCTATTTGGTTGGTGTCTGAGAAAAGCGTGTATGGTCAAGGGCATAGGTCTGGCGAGATTGATATGATGGAGGCAACAAGTTAGTATCGCTTATCAAACAATGCTACTTCTTATGAAATACGAACACTCAGATGTTCAAGTTTACTTTAGTATTTAATGTCACGGAAAATGAATTTTCTCAGGTCCCAATTAACATTGTTAAGAAACAGAATTCGAACTGTTAGAGATATATTATAACTATTAATTCTTACAGGCAATGAGTTTATGGAATATGGTAATGGTCAGAAAGTTGGCGTTCAAAGAGTTACTAGCAGCATTCACATGGGACCCTCAAGATCAGAAGTTCACCATGTAACTGGAGCTCAGTAAGTCGCCACTTTTCCTACTTTATCAGATAGTGCTAAATTCAGAATCAATCAATAATCAAACTAGAACCACTGAGTGGGACTTTGCTCATGTGCCAATTTGCTAGAGAATCTGAAAAAATCAACGTTCTTAGCCAATTAGGTCACGTGCTAAAGCAGTCAAAAGTTTTGAAAAATTCTCTCTTTTGGAAGGTTGTGGAAGTAGAACTCAGACATCAAATATGAAAGTATCAGTAGATTGCCAAGTTCAATGACCTTTGACCCTGTTAAGGGGAAGGTCATTTAAGGTCAAGGTCACTAGATATCAGTCATCAAACTTTGAAAATACAATCCGTATAAAACAGGAAGTTGACGTTGAACATCATATATGAAGGTATTAATCTTTAGCCAAGGTCAAAGGCCTTCGTTCCTACAAAGGTCAACAAAGGTAAAGGTCAAAAATTGAAAAAAATATTTAAACTAAACTCTAAACCCTTTTTTTTAACACAAACTGGCCAAGAGGGTGAGGTAATTGTGTGCAATGTCCTGTTTTGAACAAATGTATTCTATGCAAGTTATACACCTGATATAAATGTAAATAATAAGTAATTTAACCCTAACCACACCCACCTCAACTTTATTGTCATAAGTTAATTAATATTTAAAATGTCTCGTTGTGTTTCGAATTCCAGGCTTCTACACCAGATATACACCCAGCTCAAAGAAGCGAAAATATTGTAAAAAAAAACACCGAAATTTCAAAAAATCAGAAATTTAAATTTTGCATTAAAGCTATTGATATATATCACTGGAAAGAGCACGGTGAGCACATTCAGAATCCACAAACATTAACACTCTGGGTTAATTAGGTCACGAGCTAGAGCAGTCCAAAGTTGCGAATTTTTCTGTTTTTAGACAGCTATAAAACCGGAAGTAGACTTCAGAGGTCAAATAAGAATGCATCAACTGATAGCACAGATCAATGACCTTTGGCCCATTAAAGGTCATCAAAGGTCAAGGTCAAAAATTGAAAATATTGAATTTCCAAACCTGTTCTTTTTTGGAATTATGAAGCTGAAACAACCAAACTGAGACAAACTGGCTCTAAGGGTGAGGTAATTGTATGCAAAGTTTCATTTTAAACAAATGTTTTCTTTGCGAGTTACGCCCCTGGCCAAAAATGTCAATAATGAGTAATTTAAACCGGATGTGGCACGCCTACTTCAGTTTTTTGGCATAAGTTAACTAATATTGTAGATGTTATGTTGTGTTCAAAATTTCAAGCTTCTACATCATATAGGTCAAATGATATAGGTCAACAAAAGTCAACAAAGGTCAAAATTGAAAATATGGAAATTTAAAACCCGTTTCTTTTTTGGAACAACTGAGCTGTTAACACAAACTGGCCCAAAGGACGAGGTAATTGTGTCCCTTTTTGTCCAAATGTTATGCCCCTGCCTAAAAAATTTATATTTAATAACAACGTTGCTGCAACTACTGCAATATAAGAACAGGAAAAAATCAAAAAAAAAAAAATTCGATAACAAACTGGAACTTTGCGGAAATCCCACAATTACAGTGTTAATTCGTTAAGAAGTCTTAATACTTACTTTTAGTCTCAAAGACTATGCGCATATCTTCAACAAAGAGTCAACATAGTGGACAATAGGCGCGAAGGCCTAAAAAGTCCAAAGAAGACATTAGTTTCTCCAGTTTCTCAAATAATTTGTATTAATAATAACATAATTCAATATTTCTGTTGCAGGTATAAGAAACAAGGAGATTGGCATGGTTTTCATACGTACAAATTGGAGTGGACTCCCGACCATCTTATGTACTTAATTTTTATAACACTTTTTATAACGAAATGTGCCTGGTTTGCACACAAAACGAATGGACATTTGCTATGATTCAGAACAAAGCTATTCCAATTTCCCCACCTACCCAACTCTTCATTAAATCAAAAAGATGTCATATCAGAAGGTCAACTGGAACCAGGTATCAGCTTAGTTCAAATTTGGTTTTAAATTGATTTGTTTAAAGAGTGGATTTTGTAATTACAGATTATATGTAGACGATCTTATAATCACCAGAATTGATATACCTAATGGATCTACCGTTTGGAAGCATTTCAACTTCCATGGAAACAATCCATGGACAAATGGCTCTAAAATTGCTCCATTTGATCAGGAGGTATGTGTGATTTTAGTGCTCAAGTCCTTTGATTTGTCAAACTCTGAAATCTATTTTAAATCTTTACTATTATTCAATTAGATTACAATATTTCTTAAAATCTGGATTTTTATGTTTTCGAGAATATGACCCTTTGCTTAAAATATGCGTCTCGATTCTCCGTTAAAGGTTAATTCATTTTTCTTTGTATGGAAGTGACAAAACCTAAAATTAGTGACTACACTTTTTTCAATTCTCCAGTTCTATTTTCTATTTCCTTCATCATTAAACCTACAAGGTGCAGAAGCGTTGGACGTAAAACTTCATTCATTTCATTTTCCAGTTCTATTTGATATTGAATAACGCTGTTGGTGGAACTGGGGGTATATTTGGTGATAGCACTAAATACGCTTATCCTAAACCATGGAAGAATAATGCAAAAAATCCCCTGGCAGATTTCTGGAACGGTAGAAACCATTGGTTACCAACGTGGCATGGTGATGATGTGGCTATGCTTATTGATTATGTTGAATTCAGACATCTATAATTGATAAATATAATAAACAATTATATAATGAAAGAAAATTATATTAAATGATGTTAGTACATTATAATTGCTCTGAACGTTATTGTACCGGAAACCGTCATTGTCATGTTAAGAGCTATATAATTTTATCAATTCCAAAACTTTACATGGGAACAAGATATTGAGTCAGAACTCGGTATTAGTATTGGATTAGTGCATAAGTGTTGCACTAGACTTCTAACCTCGATGTAAAGAGTTAGATGACAATGAGATAACACTACACTTTGAGGTATTGAGGAACAGTAGATGCAAAACATGTCCCTTTATATCAGAAACTCATTATTTTGTAAGCAACTCTACGAATAAAAGGTATCCGATCCAGGAACATCTAACATGTGAACATTCGAATCACGCAAGAAATGCCCCAAACAATATGTAGGAGAAACTAAGAATAATCTACGAACTCGTTTTAATGCTGACAAGTCGGATATCAAATTAAAGAAAGACAAGCCTGGTTCTAATCATTTCAACCTTGACGACCATTCAATAGACGATCTCACCCTAATCCCAATTGGGCGCATAGAAATTGACTTGCCCGAAGATGAAACTACCAAATTCAATCTAGGGAAGCCCATTGGATTGAGACATTGAATACAGCAAGATCTATAGGACTAAATATTCACAATAATGTAGGTATAGCACCCTTTGTTGTCCCGTTCAATACAACCATCAATCGATAGTTCATGCCCACTTTAAGAGACTATAAGAGAAATTCTCCCCATGTCTATAAGCAGAAAATGATAGTTGCATATTCAAAGATAAGAACTTAAATGAATGATAATATTGATCACAGTAAACTAAAAACAATCAGTACATAACATATACTATACTTCTCGCCAATTCGGCGAGTTATTCTTTCTAATTTCAGATCAGAATCAGAACAGAAGAAAACCCAGTATCAGGACCCTTAATCCCAATTTCTAAATAAAGTATCTGTTCCACCCTACAAATAACACCTTTTGATCTCACTCATTTGGCGTATCTCTTCCTAAAGTTAGTATAACAAATGAACGTGAACAATATCTATGACTGAGTGAAACGTTTATACAAAGATATTACAACTATATACAGTCGTTTAAACATCAACAAAATGAAAATAGTACAGATATCTCAAATCACAGTTGACAACCTAAACAGAAATATAATAATTACCAAATATCCTGGTCCATTGAGAGCAGAGCTAAAGCCTACACAAATAAAACCAAACGATGTAAACTTTGTCTAAACGAATTAATGCCCCCAAGAACACTTCTTTAACCAAACGATCCGGGAATAACATTAGAATAAGCTCTACTTGTCCAACTTCAGTAGGGACACAAGCTGAATTATATAGGTCGGGTCGCATAGCGTTAAACTCTGAGTAACAGCTATATGTATTTTAGGTTCTGTTTTAATATTTCTATATCATTCTTCAATTGATGTATTGAGCACTATTTAAACAGTTAAACTATTCTATCATTGTAATAATATCAACATATCATTACGAGCCAAAGAATCACTGCTGAGAAATCTAAATGTACACCTACAACGACTCTAAACTACGTCTATTTAAACATGGTAATAAGCATGTAAATCTTTCATCGACACTTAATATATATCTAAGCCTTTTACACCTACAAACTGCGTTGACGAAAACAAAACGTTAAATTATGAGTAATTTTGTGTAATTATTGTCATATTCAAGCGTCTTCATACAAACTCAAAACTTACGTTCATTTGATCTATGGAATATAATCTGTTTTAGAAATATGTGACTAAAAACAGATATACATGTAATTACGGTGGTCTTTGTTTAACAATAGAATTGAATACATAACATTTCAAAATAATGTAACTACGCAATTGTTTAAAGAGACTGTTTATTCGTGATTAATCTTACATTCAGTGATGACCTGTGCTTCAAGTCTAATTTTGTTAGTTAAAACTTCGTTATCAATGTTTGAGGAGTGATTATCAGAAACACGCGTCGGTAGCATAGTCTATAGTCTCATCATAATTAATTTATATAGCATAATTTTAGTGAGTAAACGTATGTAAAAACTAAGGGCGAGAGCGAAAGTACCACTGCTCCTAGCTTCTGACAGACACAAGATCAATCTGTTAAAATGATATAGTTATGTTGACATTCTGTTAATTGTTATGGTCAAGAATACTATGTATCCACTATAAAAACTCGACTTCTCACTCTTCTTGATAAGAAGAATACCATATATTATTTTTACTAGATTTCTGCATGTAATATACTGAACAAGATCATTTTTCAAAGCAAACCTGCTTTGACATTTTTGTGCCTATAGCCATGCATTGAATGTACAGGAATGGTACAAAATTGCATTTTTTCCACTTTCTGTTTAACATACTGAATAAAACAAGCCATTTTGAAGAGATTATGAAGTCTTAACATCTTATGCCAAAGTAGGTGTATTTGTACGTGATGCACTATCCAGACATCGTATTAATAGTATGCTTTCATTGAAAGATGAAGTAGTTTTTAAATGTATAATAAGATGTAGAATTATAAGATAGTTGATCGTAGATAAAACGCTCTGTTGCCCACCGATGTAGTGAGAATTTAAATTCAATTCAGGAAAAAAGGGGAATGAAAAGAAGTACCTATCATAAAGAAGTTTTCTTCACTAGTTAAAGTGGCACATCTAACAAGCGTTTTCCACTACATATTTTCTCAATACGTGCATTTAGAACAAATAGCGTGCGAGGTGAAAAGGTTGTACTTTCTTGTCACCTTTGTCATCAGAAGTAAAACAACAACCTATATTTTACCATAAATTAGCCATTATTCTGAAATCATTTACCTTGGGGTATTGACTTTAATTAAACTCACCCAATCAGACAATGTTACATCTACATCATCTAATTATACAAAATTCCACTGATACGTTTGAGAATTTATTTAAAAATATTCCCAAATATACAAAATAAGATATCATGAATTAAAATTTAACAACCGTTTAAATTACTAAAATTGTTATCTCATCTGAAATTTTGTTTGTATGGATAATATTTTAACATCAAATGATACAAACCTGTTTAAGGTTTTAACGATTTAACATATTACTCCGCTAAATCTATTTGTATTCCGATGTTTTATTTTTAAGGTGACGCGTTCAATTTACCACATTAAGAAACTAACATTACTGAATTTTGTTGTTAATTTTTAAACAAACGAAGAAACCTTGTACAATCTTTATATCCGACCATGATTTTGACAAAAGCAAATAAAAATGTAATTCAGATTGAGACAATGCTTCTTACTTCAGTATATTGTCTTCACATAAAGCGGATTTTTAAAAATCATTCAACTATGCCGATCAATAGTACATATTAGCATAGGATAGGTCATTGTTCATTTTTTCACTCAAGGAAGATCTTAAGAAAAAATATTATTCATAGAACTGTTAAAATGAAAGGACTGTCTATGTAGGGCGCACCTCAAACATCGGATACATAATACATATCGTAGGTTAACTTTCTAATGCTAGACTTACGGCGGCGATCGGCAAAGATTTTCTTTATACATTAGTAAGAGTATCGATTACAGCTGATTTCATGCTGGCGACACTTGTTTCTAATTAAGACAATTTGGTTAATTAAAATCTCGTCCAAAGCATTGCAAAATCCAGAATAGAGAGGTTCTATCGGGTATTTCGAAAAGATTAAGCAAAGCTTATGCTTACTGCATTAAACAAACAGAAAAAGGTAACCATATCGGACTACAGTTAACTTATCATGTTTGTTAGTAGGACTGAGAAGAAGGACCCTCAACTCGTATAGATTACAGCTCATAACAAGCTGCGGACACGTGCTTCGGAAAGACAATCCTCATCAGGACCATTTTGATTTTTATTGAAATGTTACTTATCACGCGCATTTTGCCTGTAAGTCCTCTAGTGAAATCAATATGAAATGATTTCATAGATGGTCAAACCTTGAGCTACATTACAAATCATTCAAGGTTGCAAAAATGTTGATGGGAAATTGACCAGATGCTTATCAGGTTTTAACAGTAGGGATAGATATAAATATTTACATTCGATCTATAAGCTTACCAATTCTCAAGCGTTAACTTGCAGTAAAGATGATACTCCGGTCTATAATTGTTTTGTTATTGTCAGTGTATTTCGTTATTGCTATCGATGACCCCCAATATATACAAACATCCGATGGTGGAGAGATTTCATTGAAAAGTAAGCTAAGTTCTCAGTATGTTTCCAAGGCATTTTATGGAAAGTGTTCAGAAATTCAATTTTTCTAATCCTTTTGAGTGATTATCCAAAATTTGATTTTAGTTTGTTTTTTTTTCAGATGAGAATTCAATTATAAATGTTGCCTTTACTTACTCTCCTGATGGTGTTGAAGCTCAAACTGTGAATGCAGAACTTGGTGGTATGGAATTTTACAAATCCTGTAAGAAAAGCCAAAAGGAAATACATAATTTACCCGAATGTAATAAATCCGACAAAATGAAAATTTTCTCACAAATAGCTCGGACAATTCAAATTGGTATATGAAATTCTTCCTGTAAAGGCCATCATGACGAATAAGTGTAATGTACATAGCAGAGAAATGACTTAAAATGAAATGTAGTTTTATATCCTACTTATATGTGTGGCGACATTCATTGTCCAAAACACCCTGGACCGGTTAGATCCCGATGTATCTGAAGCTTGAATTGCTATGCTATGTGTTCAACTTATTATATTCAAAGCGAAGTTTACAATAAAGCAAAGTCTCAGATTAATCCCACTTGCTTTCAGACGATAACCAATGGAGAGCAAGAATTGATGGTTTAAAGCCACAGAAAAAGGTTGAGTATTATGCTACTGTAAATACTGATGTTGGTACCGAAACTTCCAAAGTCCAAGAATGGACTACAGGTACAATTATTATCATACATTGAAAATTTTGGTTCATCTTTTTCTACGGTGTTCTTAATGATGGCACCTGCTCGTACAACGAATCACACAAAAGTTACTGTTTTCCACAAACATTGAACTTAGTAACTGATAAACCTAATGGAAACTGAGATCAATTCATTTCAGCCTCCTTGATGCCACTTCCCCCACGACGAATGAGGGGTGCAGTCATATTTAGGGAAGATTTTAATGGGCAACATTTGAATTTAAACAACTGGGTGATTGATGTGACAGCCACTGGTGGTTGGGTAATGTGAATTTATCTATATAGAACCCAATAAATGGCTGAGCATATCTTGGATCTCTCTCTTCCTTCAGAAGCCATCAATGAATTGTTATCAACAATGGAGACTCATGAAAAAATATATATGTCAGAAACTACCCAAAGAAAATTCAAATTTTTGTTATTGATTTAAATGCCATGGCTTTTTTAGAAATTGCAAAATACATTTTTCTATGTACATTTGTTTTATTCCTAACATCCCTTTCTTACACCTAGCACAACGAGTTCCAGGTTTACACAAATGACCTCAGAAATGTATATCTGAAAAATGGTTATCTCTACCTAAAACCAGTAAGTAATGTTGAGACATCCTTATTCTTTGCATAAAATGAAATGAAGAGGACAACTAATAAAATTACCAGCTTTGTCTGATGTCCATGAGGATAAGCATATTTTGTTCTATTTGTAACAACTCTTATGAATGAAGTTATTTTTAAGTATAAAATAATTTGGCATTAATTTACTGAACTAAAAGACATTGTACTATTAGGTTTTTCTACAAAGTCCTTTTTTATCTAATACCAGGTTGAGAGAACTGCTATTCCTTGTAATAAGAACTTAAAATGTTTATATATAATGTGATTATATGAAATACTTACTCACTTGTGATTGATATTCTTCCTCGTAATAAGCTAATAAGCTGTTAAGTATGTTGTGTCAATATGTTGTTTTGAATTTCGGGTTTCATTTTGCGGTTCGGATCGTTAGTACTTGGTTTATCTATCCAATGCATTTTGATCCAGAAGAAAATATGATACTCTGTATCTTCCGTTTAGACTCTAACTATTGATAGTGGACATTTTACTGATTACGATCTTTGGCATGGTACTATGGATGTAAAAAGTAAGTGTAAATTAAATCCTAAAATCAACAATTTAAAGTATGATAGTGAAAATGTTTAACTTTTTCTGACGCCAGACGTAGACAATTTAATCAATAATAAAAATCGTCAACCATAACAGAAGGAAATAATTATTGCAACCTTGTTTATCAATCGTAAAACTACTCTTATGTGACTGTGTTTGAAATGAAAATGAAATCTGTAGTTCCGTAAGGGATTTTTAGTAACGAATGGTAACAACCAATAGAATAAGTTTTGTAATTTGGGTCTGAGTTGATGTTTGATAAATGCATAAAGTTTATACACCGAAAGATTTGTCATATGTTATTGAAACTCAAAGAATTTAGAACCACGAGAAATCAATTTTCAATTTTGAATTGATGAAATTTTAGAAACTTGGGGAACATGTACAAACAATGGCTCTAATGGGTGTTATCGTGATTCAAAGAATGGGCTGTTACCACCAACTTGTTCTGGAAAGGTTCAAAGTAAACCAACGCTTAAATATGGTACAGTAACAATAAGAGCTCAAATTCCCCGTGGTGATTGGCTCTTGCCAGGTAAGACTATGAATTCATAAACGGGTTACTAGAGTAAGAAATTAGACTAACTGCTTTGTGTCCTATAACGTGATGAAATCAGGTCGTAATGTCACGATTGGTATTTTTCTGCCTGCAAATCACAGTATTAGAATTGTTTTTCCAACGACCACAGTTAAATCATTCTTTCTTGTCCATCCTTCTCTTCAGCTATGTGGTTGATGCCTCAGAAAAGTGTGTATGGTGGATGGCCAAAGTCTGGTGAGATTGATATGATGGAGGCAACATGTTAGTATCGCTTATCAAACAATGCTACTTCTTATGAAATACGAACACTCGCATGTCCAAGTTTACTTTAGCATCTAATATCAAGGAAAATAATTCTCTTAGGTCCCAGTTAACACTGTTAAAAGAAAGAATTCGCACTGTTAGAGATATATTATAACTATTAATTCTTACAGGCAATGAGTTTATGGAATATGCTAATGGTCAGAAAGTTGGCGTTCAAAGGGTTACTGGTAGTTTTCACATGGGACCTGCATATTCAGCCGATCACCATGTAACTGGAGCTCAGTAAGTCGCCACATTTCCTACTTCAAAAGTTAGTATTAAATTGAGAATCAATAATTAAATTACGGTGTTAATTCGTTAAGAAGTCACTTTCCAATTGACAGTCTCAAAGACCATGGGCATATCTGCAACATAAAAGACAACATAGTTGACAACAGGCGAGAAGGGCTACAAGGTCCAAAGAAGACATTAGTTCTTCAGTTTAGGATTTTACTTAAATAATTTGTATTAATAATATTAATTAATAACATAATTCAATTCTGTTGCAGGTATAAGAAACAAGGAGATTGGCATGGTTTTCATACGTACAAATTGGAGTGGACTCCCGACCATCTTATGTACTTAATTTTTATAACACTTTTTATAACGAAATGTGCCTGGTTCGCACACAAAACGAATGGACATTTGCTATGATTCAGAACAAAGCTATTCAAAATTCCCCACCTACCGAACTCTTCATTAAATCAAAACGATGTCATATCAGAAGGTCAACTGGAACCAAGTATCGCCTTAGCTACTATTACTTAGATTCAAATTATAAAATGATTTTTAAGGAGTGGATTTTGTAATTACAGATTATATGTAGACGATCTTATAATCACCAGAATTGATATACCTAATGGATCTAACGTTTGGAAGCATTTCAACTTCCATGGCAACAATCCATGGACACATGGCTCTAAAATTGCTCCATTTGATCAGGAGGTATGTGTGATTTAGTGCTCAAGTCCTTTGATTTGTCAAACTCTGAATCTATTTTAAATCTATACTATTATTCAATCAGATTTCTATATTTCTTAAAATCTTAATTTTTTCGTTTTCGAGAATTATTTTTTTGTGGAACAGGCTTTCGTCTATATTACCCCTCTCCCGAAGAAATAATTACACGATATATAATGTAAAAAGAGAAAATAATGAAAAAGTAATAAATTGGTTATTTTGAGATAAAACTAATCATATTTACATGAGTGTTATCTACATCTCAGTGCTGGTGATATTGGGTGAAAGTCTAGGTAATACAGAATCTTTTGCCGAGCTGAATAAATTATGAACTTGCTCGAATATGATTAAGGGTGATTTTTGACATGATGTTCCGAATAAAAGAGAATGAATTGTTAAGTCAGAAGGTTTTAACAGGTAGAGGGTAGTCTTACGTGCATCTGAATGTTTTCTAGAATAAGGCCCTTTGCTTAAAATCTGCTTTTCGATTCTCCGTTAGAGGTTTATTTATTTTACTTAGTATAGAAGTGACAAAACATGGTAATTAATTAATATTAATTAGTAACCACACTTCTTTCAATTATCCAGCTATGTTTTCTATTTTCGTCTTCATTAAACCTATAAGGTGCAGACGAGTTTGACGTAAAACTTCACTCATTTTATTTTCAGTTCTATTTGATATTGTATAACTCTGTTGGTGGAGCTACGGGTATATTTGGTGATAGTACTAAATACGCCTATCCTAAACCATGGAAGAATAATGCAACAAATCCCCAGGCAGATTTCTGGAACGGTAAAAACCATTGGTTACCAACGTGGCATGGTGATGATGTGGCTATGCTTATTGATTATGTTGAATTCAGACATCTATAATTGATAAATATAATAAACAATTATATAATGAAAGAAAATTATATTAAATGATGTTAGTACATTAAAATTGCTTGGTATTAGTGTTGGATTAGTGCATAAGTGTAGCACTCGATGCAGATAACAGTACACATTGAAGTATTGAGAAACAATTTAACACTAATCCAAACTCAGTGTTTCAGAACACTGACTAAGCATGACTTCCCCTGTCACTTTAATACTAAGCATCAGTCAGGTTACATTTGTGTGGTGTTAAAACCTTCCCCGAAAATTAACCCTTTCGCAGCTTTTATTTCTGCACATTAATTGTTCTTCCTCCGCCTGTGCTTTCGTAATTTCAATTATATCATTATGCAGAAGTCACGATTCTTGGCGGATTTAGATGAAACTTGGTTTGAGTGTTAGTAATCACCAGAGGATGAACCTTAATGAAAAATAGAAAAATCGAAAAATAATTAGTATGAGTTGTTCCCTTGTTCTTGAAAATGCTTTCAATTTTTAGCATGTAAACACCCTAAAAGGCACCATTATTAACGGATTTTAATGAACTTTGTGTGAGTGTTCGTTATCAACCAATGATGAACCCTATCGAAAATCAGAAGAATCGAAAAATATTTAGTTTGAGTTATTGCCTTCGTTCTTAAAAACGCGTTCAAGTTTTAGTCTGTAAACAAAAAAGAAGTGTAAGTCTGAAGGTTGAATATTTCATACTGGTAAGTGTTTCTATACTGCCAAATATTTTTATTTAAAATCAAAGCTGCCATTAGGCGTATATTACCTTGCCTGGCAAGTTTCTTTGAGGGCGTATTCAGAATATCTTCTCGAATGTAGAATGGGCAGCAATAATTTATTCACTGTTTATTAACTACACACAACCTTGTCACACTATAGTTTTGTAATAATTGTTTTAAAGCCTAGTCAACAGTCAGGCTGTAAATATTTATACCAGTACATGTCAAAAAGTGTACAGAAGATTACCCCTAACCGGAATAAGTTTTACTGTGTCCTATACCTTGACTGCAATGGCCACCTTTCATGTCTCGCAGAAGTTTGTAAATGCATCGATTTGATTGAGTGTGTAAAGTAAGTATGTAAACACTAAGCCTCTGGCTGTATTTACTAGCGAATAATCAATACATTCCGTGATTATGTAAAGATTTTTTGCATCAAAAAGCCTAAAGTCGTTAAGACGGGGCAATAATGTAAGGTTTTGCTACAGACTGTAAAGGTTAATGATCCCTCGGCGGTGTAGTAAGACTAAACCTACTCTTCTAGCAAAATCCCTCTTATCGCAAACAGTATGGGGTCTTATCCTCCATTGAACTTGTACAGAAAAGAACGACGTCAGATCTTTGAGAATTGTCAAAATTTCAGCTCAGATAAGGCGAATTTTAAGAGTCGAATTGACGAATTTCAATTTCTGTATGCTACTGGTGAATCATAACAGGCTAATGACGAGATCTGCAAGGATAAGGACAGTAAGTCAAAGAATATTTTTGATAAACTCAAAACACTCATTATATAAGCCCTATCTCACAAATCAGAGATATGTGCATAGTGCTGACCATCATACTATCCGGCCTCTCATCTTGCCAATTTATGATCATATCGGCCATATCCAGGCCAAATACTTTATTGAATTATTGCAAATTATATTGCGATTAGATATTTTTGTTTTAATGGTATTTTTCGTTAAGGAACTTTTAAAAAATGGCAGCTTATTTCAATTATATTTCTTGCCAGAAATCTTCTTCAAAATGTCAAATCAAACTAAAGAATTAAAAGCGAGAATATCCATGTTTATGTCCAGTTTAATAAAAAAAAAGAGGGTTTATTTGAATATTTCGGACAAGTTTAAATATGGAAGCACACTTTCTCATTGCATTTTTCTTTTGTGAACAAAAAATGAAAATTATTGTTACTTTCTCGTGGGCAGTCAGTAATTATTTGGAGAAGACACTTTATATGTATCTTCTTAGATGTAAATCTCATACTGATGAAATCGTATGAATGAAGTCATTATTTAAACTATAATGATTGATAATATGATATTTCTAACTATATGAGTGAATATTTTTGACAATTGTTTTATATGTGTCTTTTATAAGTCTTCTTTGATTGAGATGGGTTCAATTCGATTTAAGTTATTTCATGTGTATTTTTTTATCTCCTTTGTTCTATTTCTTTTGTTGTTATATTTCAAATAATTATTTCAATTAAAATCAGTCATTTATTTCTTTTTTAATTTGACCAGAAAGACACGGAGGTAATTTCTATAGAACCATGCAGGCTTGACGCCGTGTCAATTTTTATTTATTCGATTTGGACATATGTAGCCGATAAGCCAACGATTTAGTACAATTTAGTGTTTTATCCGACTTCTAATACTGCAAAGAATTCACTTGTTTTGCGGCGTTTTAGTTGAAAAACAATAAATACTAGTGGAATAAGGGGCACAACTCGTGCTTTCAAGACTTACTTATTGTTAAGACGTTGAAAGTTTTGCGTTTTCCGGTTAACTTTGGCTTCCCTCTATCATCCAGGGGAAAATGTCACGTTCTATAAGTCGGAGCAATAATGTTGTAAACTGGTCAAACTTTACCCAATCTAATTTCCATAACATTCTATGGAACAGTCGTTTTTAGGCAAAGAGATGCAACTCGTCAACATACATGGCCAATTCAGCTGGCGACGAATGAGCTATCCTTTCTATTTGTAAATTGTAGAGTCAAAAATCTTTTTGAAAATTTCCCCGGGATGCTAATGATATCTTCTCTGGGGATTTTATATAAGAGGGACTTGACCAATGGGATGACGTCACTAGAGGGTTACAAGAGACCGTACGAAGTATAGTCCGGACAGAAACATGAGCTTTTTTGAAGAATTTTTTGTGAAAAAAAAAAAAATGGTTTCTCATATGGACCAACAAACACAAATAAAAACGTCGTCTCTATAGGACCCACTCTGATGCATTTTTTTGAAATGAGTTTGAATACCTAAAAATAGTATGTTATATAAAAAAAGTCACCAGCTATAAGACGCCTAGACAAGTTACTAGCTGTCAGTCGTGGTTGCAGATTTCATATTGACTACAAGTTCACATAACTCTGAAAATGATTTTACAAATCCTTGCTGTAAGCTGTTTAGGTAAATATTATATTTTCTTTGGTAATATGGTTTTGTTGTAAAATGGAAAATAGAAGTAGTTGTAAATTTAACATCATTGTTTGCTGGATATAAATTTCGTAAAATTTTCTATTTAATATATTTACCAACATTTATTATTGTGATTATTATAACGCTAATTAAAGTTATTATTAAATTTAAAAATATATCAATGAATTACTCCTTTCTTACATGTTATTATTGAATTCTTAACTAGTATTTAATCAGTCAAGTGTCAATATAATATTTTGATGTTGTAAATTTTTGGTGGTCATCCTGAATTGGCACTGCTTCCAATAAGACTACCACCAAACCTAATTAAAACTTTATTTCAATTTTAACAGAATTTAACGGAGATGCTCCTTTATTATGTTAAAAAGTATTCAAACAAAAGACTGGTTTGCTTAATTGGAAGTTGTCTGAATACGTTTATTTCATATATAATGAAAACTATGAAGGAAAATGAAGAAAATAGTAGGGTTTATAAACGTTTCTGAATTTGCATGCCCCTGAATCAAAACTTAAGTTGTTATGAAAAGTCTAAACAGTGCCTGAAATAGTCGTTTAATTAAAATTTTGAAATCGTCTACAGACCCAGCTGTAGAGTGCCATCGGGAGGTTCGATGGAATAAAACAATACTCGTAGAATAGGTGGGTTAATAGATTTATAAGGTAGACTCCAAATAGTTGCCGATAAATACTGGTATCTTGTCCAGCTTCATATCTTCTGAATTTTTCAGCTTTCTTCGCAAATGCGCAAATTGATGTTAATTCATGTACTGATTACAACACAACTGTAGACAAATGTAATACTGATAACACGATCGATGGAGGAAATCCTTTAACTTGGGCAAGTGTTGGAATGTTCTATAGCTTACCAGGAAATGTTTACTGCAGGTAAGAATGTAATTTTTATTATCCCAAGAATTTCATTGTTTATTCGCTCACTATCATTTACAATTCGGTCCAAAATAGACAAAGTTACACTTACAAGCTAGTAGACATTTGTTTAATGGATCTACATCCCGCTATAGAAGAGTAGTTTCCCAGTTCTTATACAGTGAAATATTTCATTAACATGAGGCTTTTTCGAATTTCCAGACCAGTAAATGATAGCTACTGTGTAGTAGCATGTTCAATTCAACATTCTTGCACAAGATTTTATTTATTCAAAGTAAGCATTTTACTTTCAGTGCTGCGAACAAAGGAAATTTTATGAAAGCTACTGAATGTATACAGAAAGCTTACATTGCTTGCGGTAAAAATGACTTTCATAAGTTTGTTTCGTCGGTTGATGGAATTAAAGGCGGCGTAGAATATTACTGTAATAACTATGAAGGTAGGTTATTTTGTTGGGATTGTTAACATAAATAATAGATATTGACAATGAAGGCGATATAATACGAAGAATTTTAGATTTTTACAGCGGAGAGATGCATTACTATTAAGATGACAGTTTTAAAATCATGCTCATAGAACTTGTAATGTAATATTTTATCGACAGGATCCTTGACCCAACAAAAGGGAGTCAAAGTCGCAGTGTGTCAAACGTTTAGCACCCATATAAATGTTTTGATAGGGACCTGATACTTTACCATGAAATCTTTTCTTCTAGATTTTGATATGAACTGTATAAGTGAACTTCAAATGTGTGCTAAGAATAAAGCTCCCGCCGATCAAACTATGCCAACCATGGATGATGAATTTAATAAAAACAGGGATTATTATTGTGGGTAAGTCTAAAAGATTTTTAAGTCAATAAGTGGTTGTGTGATAACCAGATTTAAAATTCCAAGAAGAACACTTGAAAATGATATTTTATGATGGGTTTGCCCGTAATAACTTCAACATCAGCAATAATATTAAACCTGAGCAACAAAAAAAAACTGAAACTGAGTTACATATTCGCCACAGCATTCTTGGTGTCGTCCACATCTTCAAACACCTTGATATTGGGCATAAGGAAGAATGACACGAAGCCAGGTCACACGAATTCGGGAGGTTGCTCAGGGAATCGAAGCCAAGGCCAGGAAGAAATCACGTCAAAAGACCAGCTTGTCTGCAAAAGATACTGCGGCTAGAGGATGGCGAGAGTTGTAGCAGGACACTGATCTGTTACTATACCCATTTTGAAGTTTGGATTTCAAGTTGGAGGGACACACCTCGCATATTTTTATACACGTTTCTTTTTTGCATAATTATTTTTTTTCAGTCATGCAGAACATCTTGGAGAATGCATCAATAGCAACGACAAACTGAAGAACTGTGCTAAAAATAAAACAATGGAAATCATCATGAAAATTGCCGAAGAATTATTTCCACCAGCATGTGATGCCACATCATTTGTAATTTCTTCTGTTTTATTGTTAGTTTCATTATTTATTACTCTTTAAAAATCTCTGTTCCACCTAATCTGAATTGAAACCAAAACATTACTACAGAAATCGTACGAATGAAGTCATTATTTGAAACATAATGATGGACAATGTATAATTTCAAAGTTGTATGTATGATTATCTTTAGAAGACGATTTGTACGTATTTTCTTCAATGTAATTTTTAACTCGTATGAAGCTTGTAATCAAAACTTGAATGAATACGAAACGCATACTGATGAAATCGTATGAATGAAGTCATTATTTAAACTATAATGATTGATAATATGATATTTGTTAACTATATGAGTGAATATTCTTTTGTACGTAAAGTCTTCTTTGATTGAGATGGGTTCAATTATATTTCAGCTATTTCATCCTTTTTTTTTATTTCCTTTTTATTATCATTATTATAAAATGTAATTAAATTGAACATTTCAATAAAAATTTTAGTTTCTACGGTCGAATGCGGACACGTGAATTTTGTACGTATTTTTCTGATACCTAACGTTTCCCATAGACTAGCAGCTCACAGTCCAATGCAGTCTCGTGTGCGTTTTATATGTTTAAAGAGTTGACTGGATATTTACAACCCCATCTTAAACGGGGGTAGGAGAGCGAACATTGTGATTGGTTTGTTTGCCTACGTCCTACTTGCCTGTTGAAGAAAAAGCAAACATGTTTTTATATATTACAAATCTGAAAAGTAGGATACCTAAGAACTGGTACAAAGGATAATAACTGAACCCAAGTTGTCATCCTTGTAAAATATACTTGATTCGTTCTTTTCTAGTTCTATTTACCCCAAATCTGCATCCATCCCTACAACATTATACAACTGAGATAAATTTTTTAGTTCAAATTTAATAGTTTTGTTTGTGAAGTCATGGGTGACTGCTTGTGACCGTCTTCGTGATATGTTGTTATATTGAAAAAAAATAAGAAAAATTATATATCAACGATTTTCCTAAGCTTTTCTAAGTACACAATCAAGTCCTGAATATATTAAGGGGTAATCGATCTTCTTTGTTTTTTGGGTTGTTGTTTTCGATGATCTTACACAGTGTCCTTTTTTTTGACTCGTCTGTGCGTTCTTTCGGTTTTACTTTCTTTTTTTTTGGTTTTTGTGTACAGCTCGTATATTTTTAAACCGATTGTTTTTATCAAATTTAGTATGTTAGTGTATGATCAAAAATAATTTTGAACAGTTTGTTACAGTTTTTTTTTTAATTTGAACCTTTAGTTTACCTTCATGCTTTTGAATAGTGTCAAAGCAATAACCCATTTAATACGAACTTTTATACATAGTAAAAGGCCTTTGAGTCCATTCTTATGAAACTTCGTGAATGATTTTCGCATCACTAATCATTAGCCTACATGGTGCAGAAAAGTAGGACGTAAAACTCTATTTATTTCATTTTTCGCTTCACCAGCCATATTCCAAAGTAGGTGTATTTTACGTGATGCCCTATTTTATTATTTTTTGTGAACGTTCACCTTATCCAGACATCGTATTAATAGTATGCTTTCATTGAAAGATGAAGTAGTTTTTAAATGTATAATAAGACGTAGAATTATAAGATAGTTGATCTTATATAAAACGCTCTGTTGCCCACCGATGTAGTGAGAATTTAAATTCAATTCAGGAAAAAGGGGAAGTAGAGCAACAACCTATATTTTACCATAAATTAGCCATTATTCTCAAGTAATTTACCTTGGATTATAACTTTAATTAAATTCGCCCAATCTAGTTACATCACTGAATCTGTGAGAAAATGTAGACAAATACGTCTAATGATGAGTGCCAGTTTATGCCCATCACATAAAACTTTTTCTTTAACAAAGACTATAAACTTGTATTTTGTAGCTGATATTGTAATTGAAATAAATGATCGGTACAATTAGATTTGTCTACAACCGTTACAGAACGCTTAATATCTTTGCACGAAATGATGATTTGATCATTTGCCAAACCTTTGAAACGTTCGATTCTGATTGTTCTGTAGCTTGTGTGAGCTCCTTACGTCAAATAGTGGAATTTAAAATCTTTAATAAGGAGATGAACATTAGGTAGTATACATCGAGAAATACTACTTAAATTACTTAGACGAAAGAATACCGATATTGAAAGTGTCCACAGTATAATTAATAAGTTATCAGTATTGGTAGTTTTATATATATATATATATATATACACACTAATAATAATCTCTCTTTTCACTCTTCGCTGAAGTATTAAAATTTATTGCAGTCTTATATAACTTAACATTATTGCAACGAAAGAGGATAATATGAGTGAAGACGTATAAAGTGACACATCTCCCTCATTTTGAATAGGGTAATAATAAGTTGTCTTGTGTGTTAGTATTTCGTTTAAAAAAATAAACGAAATATCATGTTCGTGACGTACCAATATCAATTACTCAAGCAATGTTTAGTTAAAATCTAAATTAATCATAGAACAATGACTTGTTTTACTATTTTTAGAATTTACAAAACAATTTTCTCATCTATAACAGAATGCTTATTTATCTAAGTTGCACTCTAAAAAGGCTTTTTAACTGAGAGCAAAAATTGGACCAAAAGGACAATTGGCTGTATGTGTCATGCATGCTTGGAGTTTATGATGCTCCAGATTAGACTATGATCGATGCAAAAATATAAGCAAGACTTTTTAATACAACTCGACAAGTCTGTACCATGTGATATCTAGAGTGGAATATGTCGCATTTTCCGATGTTATCTAATATAGTAAGTGGTTACTAGATTTATATCATATTGACTTAATTGATTTCAAATATCACAGAATTAATGTCAAACAATAAACAGTCACACCATATATTGATTTCTTATAAAATAACAGGGAAAGTTAATCAATCAATATCTGAAGAAGACGAAAACAAATGACCACAAAATGTATAAATTGGGTAAATAAGCATTTAAAAATTTGTTGATCTCATTTCCAGACAGAAGTATTGTATTGTTATTTGAATATAAAAAAAGTATTTATACTACTTTTATGAAAAAGTTGGTTCCAGTATATTACACGGAGTATTTTATATATTTAAAAGCCTCTTGATCTGATTCCAACGGGTCAATTTTAATAGTCAAGTATTTTTATTTCGCAGATCAATTCATAGAACTAATAGACTGTATGTATTAGCCTTCTTGAATGGATATCAAAAGTACTTCAGATAAGTCTGACTGGGGTACAATTGTACTGTTGTGAATTGAACTTACACATACAAATTCTGCCACTCTCACGTAAAAAAACGACGGCAGTGGGTTCTTAGGCGTACTTTCGCATACTTGCGCACCGGAATCGCATTGATCGCTAAAAGAATTCCAGTGACTCTCCCCCCGACACCCGCCATGGTACATTGGTCGGGACTCAATCGGTGAAAAAAGGATCCATGGAAACGATTCGAACCAACAACTGGGCCGTTAACAAAAATTTATTCATCGGGAACAATGAATGCCAGTCAAAGTAATACACTGGCAGCTGTTTATGTGAATAAAAATATTTGGCAGTAGAGTAGCAATCACCTGAATGAAATAGTCAACCTTCATTCATAGACCTACACTTCTTTTGAAATTTTTGAGGTGATAATGAACAAATAACAAAAACACAAGACAATATTATTTAATATAACACACTTCTTTAATAACGTTTCAACACAATATACACGTGTCGTCATCAAATCTTAGATAATGAACAATATTACCAAGTTTTGTCAAATTTTGGCAAATGCCGTATAATGTTCACGAAGTAAAAATTGAAAGCTTTTCCAATAACGAGGTCAATAACTTCTATTAAACGTCTTTGTTTTTTTTTTGGTTTTTCAATAGGGTTCATCCATGGGTAATAATAAACACTCACATCAAGGTTCAGAATATTTCGTCAAAACCTGTTAAAAATTGTGCCATCTTGAGTGTTGACCGGCTAAAATTGGGAACGTGTTTCGAAAACAAGGGCAATAACTCGTAGTAAATGTTTTTCGATTCTTTTGATTTTCAAAAGGGTTCACCCTTCGGTGAATACAAACACTCAACACCGAGTTTGGTCAAAATCCGGTTATAATTTTGTCTTTTAGAGTGTATACGGGCTAAAAAAATAAAGCGTTTTCAAAAACAAGGGCAATAACTCATACTAAATATTTTTAGTAAAACTTGGAGAGATGGGGGGTATTAGACACGTTTTAAATCAAGTCTAAAATGCGTTGGATTAAATTGTCGTACTTATATCTTCCACGTGTTTTAATTCACATCATTTCGCACGAAACATGCAAGTTACTCGTATAGTTGAAATATCACGATATACGTTCTAGAAATATCCAACCAGAATGTTCCTTACGTGTTCATTTGGAAATTTTGTCAAGAAACGTTCCACATAAGGTAGTCACTGTAGACCATTCAGGATCGGGTTCTGATGTATCGGTATTTATATAAATTAATAGATTAGTATAATCTATAATAAAGCTGTTATATAATCTGAACAGCTACAGAAAGTTGGTCTGATAAGTGGCGGAAGACAGAGGACATCATGTTTTGAAAAGAAACGTGACAAGTGAAAGACCTGAACATTTTAACAACAAAACAGATTGATTATTTTGATGCTTTAGTTTCCATTATAATTTTTTGTTAAATTCTATATAATAATATAGATTCTCATAATATCACAACAGAAGTTAAGCTTAGTATTTTCTCCATCAAACTTGAGTTTGAAAGTTCGTCGTTAATTACTTATAATTTTACCTGCTCCACAATTGGTTTAACTCAATAAGTTCATCACTTCGATTTTATTCCAGATATAAATAAAACGCGTTAAAACAAGCATATCCATTTTCATTTGATGTGTTCAGGGTTTAAAATGGTATTTAATGTTGATTAACTTTAACAATTGAGACCGCGAGCACCTTCGGGTAATCAATTTGAAAAGTGATTAAGGAAAATTAAATTTTGGAAATTTAATTGAAAATTGATCAAAGCTCATGCTTGATTAGTTGTGATCTCAAACTGAAGTAAAGAATATTGTTTCTATTGATCAATGGTATATAATCGACATATGATATTAACTTGGATCACAAGACTTTTTACTCCAGTATAGATTTTGTTAAAAGTTCAGCTGGAAGTTTATGTGGAAACAATTTAACTTGTCAACAATGATGTGGTGAATTCAGCCAATGTGTTTTATACCTTGCGAGCGATATTTTTTCAACTGTTAACTTCAAATTTGGGATTTATGAGTGGAAAGATGGTGTACTCGAAAGCAATGGAATTGAGTATTTAGAGGAACTAACTGGGATTATTATTCTCATGGGGACTATAAAGACGTCATCAATTCAGACTCAAAATTTTTGGCCTGTTCTTGAACCTATACAATTATTGAAATAGATGTTATGTGAAATTGTGTCATCATCTTTATTTCAGAAAAGTCTTCAAAACTCACTTTTAGTCAATTGAACACCGGTTAAAAATGAACCTTTTACTTTTTATAGCTTCTGTACTTTACAGCACGGGTGTTTGGTGCACTACATTAAAATGGAGAAAAGTCCCTTCAATGGATGGGAAGATTGTCTCGGGTGCTTTTCATACATACAACAATATGGCATTTAAAACATTCTGTGCGCAAATTTGTTCTCAAAATTCAAATTGCTTTTCATTTTTCTTCAATATCCAGACATATGCTTGTGATCTTCATTATACAGTGTATACAGACGCAACGCCTTCAACAACTTCGGTTGCGACGAGGTATTACATCAGTCAAGAAAGAGGTCAGTTATATGTTCCAGAGAAGCTGTGTAATTACCCATTTCAATCGCAAACTGAATCAGTAGAATATTTTATAACTTTTTAACGTTATTTTCCGTCCGATATCGTCGTTTAATAAGGGTTCAATGCTTTGTTATACGCAGCCGAAAATAATACATGGCGTTTCCAGTCCTATTTGATGCCTCACCCCCTTTAGAGCATAGTTCTGATTGAACTCTGGATTCGCATTTCTTTTTAATGTATATAATAAATATTCATCTCAGATTGGAAATATCAAAACAAATTGAAATGGAGTTTATGATATACATGTTGGCACATGATTGGCCTTATAGCCCCGTTACATCGGACTGCGACCATTTGCGGTCGAACGTTAGAAAAACTAGAGAAAAAGTCACTGATATAATTACAAACTTAAAAATAGTCGACCGCTAACCGAGAGTTATGCGACCATATTCTAACGTTTTTGTCTTTGTCAGCGCTCAAGGTGATCTTACAATCTTTGTCTGACGACCTTCTTGACGAAATGGCGATCTCAACACGTTCCAGAACAGATCGCCGAACCTTGGTGCCTGTTTTGGTCCAAAATAAACGCCACGACTCAGCTAATAGTGGCGACAAAGGCAACAATGTCTGAAATGTCCGACGCTCTTATGACCTTCTCGGAGCCAATTTCCGCCGCAGTAAGAACATCTTTCGGTGTGAGGGAATTTTTAGTTAAACCACTGATATATTTTGCCGTTTTGTATATTGCATGCAATACCTTTGGTGTTAATTAAAATTTGTCAGCTGACAGGATATTGCGATGTACACGGACGTCTTTCTTTTTTTTCAGAAATAACAACAACGACCATACCGACGACTACCACTGCTGTTCCGACTACTACCACCACTGTTCCGACTACTACAACCTTACCAACGACAACCTTACCAACGACTACAGTTGTTCCGTGTCCTGGAACGTATGTGAATGAAGGAGACTTTTGTTTTCAGATATTTAACACGGCCAAATCGTGGAATGCAGCTCGTCTTGTATGCCAAAGTGAAACAAATGGGGATTTATTAGTTATCGACACTATGAGCAAACAACAGTTCTTCAATACGTATATGAAAAATAATGGTGAGTGTTTATTGGCATCATGTGCATGATCTTTACTTTATATCGCTAATCATTTTGTCGAGTCATGTAATCAGTAACAAGGTGCAAGTAAACATATGCTGGAAATTGTAGATTGAAACACTGTGTACCATAGTTTAACAAAACTTACATTAATATCAAAGAGGTATCCGTCAACAAATGGCAAATAATTGTTCTATTTACGTTGGACATCACAGGTTCACACAATCGTCAGATAACAGCTCGTTGAGCTGAGGCCGACTGCATCCGACGACTGATCTGGTGGTTCTGGGTAATGCCACTATACGATACGTGCTGTATGATGGTTCTGGTTTAAACAATTATATATTCATTTTAAACTACAATTAAATTTTTACAGAGTATAATATGGAAACAGAAAGTAGCCAAGGTTTATGATTATCCGTCAGCTATTTTTTGTTTTGTTGTGCCTAGCAGTCGTTGAACACCGAGTCAATCCAAGATTCTGTTTGTGGCAAGAAAAACTTGTTCCCCTTTGAGGAATTTTAATTCTTGACTCTCTTTTGCAGGCTATATGAATTCGTATCATTTTGGTATTCACCACATTTATACCAATGGAAACTTTGTCCTCGTAGATGGCAGAAATCAAGCTACCTCAAGTTTTACTTATTGGGCTAGTGGTGAACCGAATAATTTGGATGGACCAGACCTTTGTGGTTTTCTCCAGTGGAAAGCGTCTAATACACAATTACGCTGGAATGACGGGTCCTGTTCCTATGCGGACAAATATGTATGTGAAGTGAAAACTGGATGAGAAAACTTGTGGCCGGTTTTAAAGCTTAAAGTTTTTATCTATTGTGTTGTTTTAGAATTTACAATAGTTTATTGTTAAGTTCATACGGTTAAAAATATTCATTGTTGTCGTTTCTTACAATTAGCTAGTCTTCACAAAAAGAGCATTTAAAAAATATCTTGAAACTACATGGATGTAAAACATTGAGTGCCTAGTATTCTAATTAATATTTTTCAACAAAATAAGTGTTTTTTAAGATAACAAACACAAGCCAATATAAATCAGATGATCGTTATGCTCTGGTATCATTAGCTGCCACCAATGTTCGCCAAAATGTTACTTTCGGTTTCGGCTTTTATTTTGCAGTTCAGATCGTCCGTACTTGGTTAAGTTCGTTAGTACTTGGTTTATTTATCTGAAATCATAAGGATTAAGATTAATTATAAGATCCAAGATATTTATTTGTCTTACAGAAATATGATTTTATTAAATATCAATAAATAAAAGTAGATATTGATTAGACATTTGTCATATGAACATGCTTTATCACTTTGCTATTAGTTTATATTAATACAACAAATTGAAGTATAATGTAATGAGCCTTTTCGTTTGACATCAAAGTCATCGATATAAACCTTGTTTTTTTCACAGGTATTCCAACAAAAAATTTCTAAACAATTTTGTATATGCCTAAATAAAATTCGGGGTTGACGCCACACCCTCCTTTCCGAAATGGCAAATACATGTAATTAGTAATGGAAGAATATTAAAACTATAATTTTCACAGATATTTTTGTTTTTATAAAGATAATATGATTTTCACACTGCTGTCTGCTATTTGGAGTTGTATGCCATATTGACGTATTTCCATGCTATGTTGCTGTATTCTCTTTTAAGACGATTGCATAATACTCACACCCTCGTTGGTAAATCGATCTTTATCGAGTCGTAAAATATAAATTTGAATATCATCTCTTAAATAATCAGCATGACTTGGCGTTGATTAAAAGGTCAACATACAGAGGGCAATTTTCAGTCAAAATATATTTTGGTTTAAATTTCTTGGATGAAAGTTTGTATACTTTATATGTAAATCTGCAAAACTTTATATATCCATTATAAGTAATTCTAAGACTACCAGTACTGCTGACGGTAAAAGCATATATACTGAAATAGATTGCGTTTTTTTGTTTTTTTTCTCTTTTCTTTTTTTTTTTTTATAAAAAATACTTTTTGACTTCGTAAAAATGCTTTTGAAATATAAAAGTACTTAATATTTGACAAAGTCAAACGTTTCATTTATAAAGTTCAAATTTAAAATTATTTTTTAAATTCAAAAGTATTTTTACAAATTCTAAAGTATTTTTTCAAATTCGATATTAGGAAATTCAAAAACATGTCGTACTTGAGCTTCTGTAAGAAAGCATTAACGCACGAATTAATCCTCGTTCCAATTCCAAGAGAACCACTGCTCTATAGTAAAAGGTCATACCAAGTAATAACAGTTAGATACCTTTAGTTTGGAATAGTATCGGCTGTCTTGATTTCATATTTATCCTCCCAGAATAAACGTGGTTATCAGAGCAAAACAATCGATCCATATAGGAGCTCAGACGGAACAGCACGTTTAAATTACTAACCAAAGATTTATGTTCTGAGATAGCGTTAGAGATAGCGTTGAATATTAATTATACTCATTCAATTCCCTGTGGAGGTCGGAGATTAACCAGTTGAAAACACAAACAAACAAGGCTAAGCATTTTAAAGCGACATTCCGCATTTTTTGTTTTGTGCTCAAATTAGTGAAAACTATACACCAAAATATTTCGGTAAAGCTCATTATCTTTTGTAGAAGTTGTTAGAAAACTACTGTATGGATTCGAGTATTAACTTAACGACTAATTGTATATAAATATACTACTTATTCTTCTCTGCTTCTTATTCTAAATGCTTCAATTAATAATATCAATCCATTATAAAGTCGAACACCAAACTTTGCTCAAACTGCTTAATAAACAATTAGAATTTTCCGTTCTTAATTAACCCTTTTAAAACAATCTCAGTTTGATCAAGTAGATACATAGAAATAAATAGCATACTTTAGAAATATTTTCAGGTACAATTTACTACGTTTTTGGCAAAGAAAACTTTGCCTTCTCCCCCTTTAAATTTTATAGAAATGACGTGAACTCGGTGCTGTTTCGAAAACGTATAGAAAGATTGTCCTTTGTAAAATAATTTTGGAACGTGCCAAAACAAGCTTTAAACAAGTTTGACGGAAATTGCCTAAAACGTTTTAAAACAAGTACTTACATTGACAGTAAAAATCTAGATATAAATTATTAATAATACCGGTGCATAAGAAATTGAAAATTAATATTTCTGTCTTCGTTTTTAACTATCTTACTTATTTGACATGCAATTCGATAAGTGTATTCAGTTTTTAAAAATGTAAAATTCAATGTATCGTCTTGCAATCAAGCACAATTTTAAAATTCACAATTGATTTGAAACGATCAATAACTTGTTTGAAGCTGAAAAAATGGAATGTTAATGTGTATCAGTGCTTTGTTTTTTGTAGAAATTGCACTAATTATCAAGGTTTATACAAATGAATTTAATTTTTTCTTTTGATGTTTCTTTTTCAGTATTTTGTCGCCTACATCTAGTCCTCTAAAACTTACTCATTTCGGTTTCGAATGACATTTCCTATTGAAAGCTTCCCATCAGAGTCGAGAGGTAGTACTTTACCTTCTATGCACAACTCGGCAACTTAAACATATCCCTAGACTGTATTGTGATACCGGGGGAGGCAAAGGAACATTACAGTATATCCAAAAATGTCTTGATGGATTCATTAATGGTTAATGATACCAAAGGTTTTGCCTTATTTGGTTTTGGTCATGGTGAAAATTCTCAAAAACTACCTTTCAAAAATTAGATCTTAGCTTCACCATTAAATTTGATCTTTTGGGTCTGGCCCTAACCGTGAACATATATCCGTATATCACGTCTGAGGAACGGATAGGGCAGAGCAGCGAGAGTCTGGTTAACTCTTAGTAGGAACCATCTTAGTTCCCTTAATTTCAAAATAAGCGACTATCAATGGAAATAATTTTCATTTTTGAGCGATTGGGTTGAAATAGAGTTCCCCGAATAGAGATTTTATAATCAAGTCGCAGAGGACATATGGCCGATAGTGTTTAAAATTGCGACGAAATTTTGTTGTCTGAGGAAAACTGAAATTCTGGTGAATGAGACACAACGAGGATAAGAACGGTGGTCATTAATTCTTTATCACAAAAGTGTTCATGACAAGAAGGAAGTTCGTACTTTCAGCAATTGCGCTGATGTCATGAGACTGTAGCTCCAAATGCTGTCACAACAATAGATGTTTAAGTCAATCTGTATATTAAACAACTTTATGGAACAATCATTGTTATGAAACTGTCAATGTGTTTTCCTTGTGTTTTCCTTGCTTTTCTAATATCGAAAACAAATATTAGATTTTTTTTTAGTTTTTTTTATTAATAGGCCCGAGGAAGACTGGAAAGAAATAAGCATTAGTTTATAAGAGAAAATAATGCCTTGACAGGTTGTGAAAGAACATTGCCTTCATTGGATAGTTGAACTCTGATATCTGATTTTAATTTGAAGTATTTACATTCCTAGACACCAGTGTAATCGATCCGGAAAGTGACTCAAATATCATTATTTTGAGTACGGAAATCCTGCCTTCGAACCGAACGAGATTTGTCAAGGAAGTGTACTTGGATAACCTTTGAAATTATCGAATCGAAACTAACATTCAACACGAAAGAGTTAGCGGTTGGTGTCATATAAAAATATATAATAACTCTATGAATGGACCCAGTCGGATCTGTTCACCTTCAACTCCCATTCTCGGCGACCTTTTTTCTCTTTAGTTAACATTTGGATAAAGAAGCATTTCCATGCCACACGTTTTGGCAGAACGTCACTAAAAGATAGAAGCATGGTACCCCTCAATCACGGGCTCTGTACCAATGACAGCACGACAGAATCAAACGTTGATCAGACTAACTGTACCCACAGCTTCGGAGGAGATCTCATTAACCCGTTTTTTTTTATGTTTGATAGTGAAATGAGCCATAATTCCTTCGAATTCAATTCTTTCGATCCACTGTATGACAATATTTGGCGATACCAAATCAATAAACTCTATTTGGAACTGTAAGTACGATTGGGTGACTGTGATATAATGCAAACAATTTAATTTCCTCCACTGATTCAGCTCTCTGAAGCAATTACATAATGATGAAAACTATTATTATATATTGTCTCGCCCAAACCTTCATTGTTAAAATTCTTACACATGATATAATAAATGACATGTGCATTAAGTACTTTTTTTCACATCAAAAACCAATAAATTTAAAAGATTTAAACTCTTTTTTTTTAAATCGAAACTTCATGACACGATTTCCAAATATGAGAGTTTACTCGGAAAAAAATATGAAAGACCATTGATTATTGAACGTCAATTTATTCCAAGAACAAAAAAAAAACCAAGAAACAAAAAACCTTACTTCAACGATTTGATTTTTTCATCAGGCAAGTAATCAACATGCAAGCTATTTCTGTATATCTCTTGTTCTTATACATTGAGGTAAATGTCCGTGAATAGCTTGACAAAGCTTGTACTATATTGCATCCACATGCATTTCTTGTCGACGCTCTGTCATCATCCTGGTTAGCAGATTTTGAAACAAAAGAATACCAATACCAATAATCTCAAATATGGTACTGCGCAACTGATGGTGTACAATCCAGCTCTGAAGTGCGCAAATTACTAGCTAAATTTATTTAACGAGCGTTGCAATCAATTCACATGCGACAGAATACGAATCATTATCAGATTATCTTATCAGAACGCTAAATTAACGATGAATACTTAAAAAAATCCCTTTTCTCCGTCTCTTGTGCGGTTTTTGCGTGGCTATTTGTGAAATGAAATGGATGGAGTTTTACGTCCTACTTTTCTGTGCCCTTGTGGGCTAATGAAGACGGGCAACGCCATGCAGGGTGCCATGAGGGAAATTTTGCCAAGACAGCGGCATAAGCCTGCTCTTTTTCGATTTCCGACTGTCGAGGGATATTTAACGTGCACAGCCTGTAGCCTCGGGTCCTCGGTTTATCGTCCCATCCGAACGACTAGACTCTTTTTCCATGTTAGCCCCTCTTATCTGCATCACTGACAGGAGGAAACCAAGCAAAATCCGACGGTATTATCTCGACCTATGCCGGGAATGAACCCTGGGCCTTCAGGTCAGCGAGCAAGCGTCTAACTCACTGAGTCACCGCGGCTCCCGTGTGGCTATTTGTGACTAATGTTTGGTCTAGATTTTGAAATTGCATTTTCTCTCAGGTTTTGTGAGATAATGAGGGATTTATAGGCAGAAGGCTAAATCTGAAAATTTGTGTATAGTGACATCGGGATGTTAATAAAATATGGTGTCCATTTTCAATTTGACCGTCAGGTTTTCATGGTCATTTTGAATTGAATTTTTGTCCAGAAGCTAACAATGGTCAGACTTTATATGTCATATTGGAAAGATTTCAACGAAATTTCTGGAAAAACTTTAAGAAGGTTTAATTTCGTGATTTAACATAGAAAGAGATGGCAAATAAATTGGTGGCTTGAATTTGAAAGAAAAATTATTAAAATTCCGCCAGCAACAACATGAATATGTGGAGCAATGCTTGGTAACTTTCATGTCACATTATCCTGTTCAGAAAAGTAGATTGTCATAGCACTAAGAAAACTCCCTCACATATCCCTCTTGGATGTTTACTTAGTTACTGAGGTGTTTGGCATAATAGAAGTAATCTTTCATCAGAATGTCATTCGTCTTGATAATGATAAAGCATAACATATAACTGTTTCACAGATATATACCGATAGACATGAATTCTATTCAAAATAAGATGAAAAAAAATGCAGTTCTCAAATGGCCCAAGGGATAAGCCTGCTAGAATAAACAAATTCAAATCATTTAATTGTGCTATCTTAAAATAGAAAATAAATAGGATGAACGGTTACTGAAGTACCATTATTGTTGTTGCGAGTACCAATGCAACGAAAACAAAACAGCAACCTACAAAAGAAAAATTAACACATTCATTTCTAGACTCAGTGGGACCGGCAAAGTATTGGACTGAACAAAACAATGGAATTTTATAATTCCCATAGGATACTAAAGCCGAATCAGCAGTTATCGTACAAAACGTGGTGTTTCTCTACAATTGTTTCCCCATATCGGAAAAGTTGCAAGTGGGTGGAGGATGCGGCTTTAGATGTCTGGGAATATAGAATGATCTTTCTGATTGAAAAGAAACCATTAGTGATGAAAGGTGGTTAATATCATGGTTTTACGAAAAAGAAAGCAAAGAAAAAGGGAACGTGCTTAACCCAAAGAGTCGGTATAAATCCCAACGGTAATATAAATGGTAAATCCCCGTTTACATGATTCAACTGCAGAGACTATACCTTTTTTACGTTAAAGTAATACGAGTGATCCATCGACGATACATTTACACTTTACGTGTGCATAACGATTCTCTTGCAGTACCTAAACCCTCTTAAGCACTCTAATCGCTTTTTGCTGTAATTTAATTCACAACACTGTAAACCCATACAAAGTACATACAAAGAGCAAAAACAGACAAGTACAACCACCAACAGATATAGGTGAAAATATAATACAGACAGAAAAACACAAAGACAGGGTGCGTTTTCATAACGAGTTCAAAATGGGTTATAATAATAACATTATTTATTTTAATTTTTACAACAATGCTACATTGATTATTATTATATTTCTTTAACTAATCTTACAACGACAACACTGATTATGAAAATTTTGATTAATGATGCAATACTACATTGATTATTGTTATATTTCTTTAAGTATTCTGTTAAAACTGCAACATTGACTATTAATAATTTTTTTAAATAAATGTTACAACTGCAACATTGTTTATTATTATATTATTATAATGTTGTTTCTACAGCAACATTTATTATTAATACATTTTCTTAATTCATGTTACAACAACAATATCGATTAAAATTTTATATTTAAAGTATTGTTACTACGGCAACATTTATTATTATTACATATTTTAACTAATGTTGCAGCAACAGTATTGTTTCTCTTTTTTAAAATTATTATTGTTATGTACAACAGCGGTATTGAAGTACTAATAGTATAGTATAGCCATCTATCCAGCTTAAGCTTTAGCGGGATAGAATTTAATTTCTACTATTACGTAGTCCATGCAAATATAAGTGCGGTGTTGTAAACTTTGATTTGAATATTGATTTTGCAAATTTATATTATAAACGAAATAAAAATTGCTACAAGTGTAAACAAGAAGTGAAAGAACTAGTAGTTTTTACAATGAAAGGCCTTTTACCAATTTTATTTGCTGTGTTTTTATCTCCCGATTCAACTGATGTAGTAGTCCCACTTTCAGTTATGGATCGTGATGCGGATGTTGAGTTGTGGTCATCTAAAGTGATAAATAAATTATATGTGAATTCCTTAACAATTTCAAGGCATCTTTAGCCATTTATAGGTGCAAAAAAGGCAAACCACACTTTCTGATTTTAATGTATGCCGGGTATTTTGATAAAGTTGGAATGCAGAGCTGCCAGCCCTTTTTTAAAATGAATCGGGACAAAAAAGAACGGAAAATCTAAAGAAGATAGTATGTAATGATTTTTTAGAACGGCAGAACGAAGTCATTTATTCCTTTGTGCGAATATCACGAGGTATGAACAATATTTTTCGCCCGGCGTCCTAGATTGAATGAGAGCAGTGAATCCTTCACGGGAGGTTATGAAATAATTAAGTAAAAGGTATAAGTTATCCCTCTGTCTACCCCTTGCTTATAAAAGTAAAGTAGGTGCAAACATTAATTTAAAGGTTATACCCGGAGTATTAGCCGTATTATCGTCTTGTGTGGATGAAATAAAAGTTTCATCTTCAGATGGACGTGATGTTGGTTGTTCCGATTGTACGTTTTGGTCATCTACAGTATCAAATGAAGAGAATCATTATCATTGATGCGTGAATTACTAGCATGACAGGCAGTTCAATTATAAATGCATTTAGAGCTTCAATAGTTTGATGCGAATCAAAAAAAAAAAAACACTGACGGTCCTTTATTTCAGGAAAGCCTTCTGAAAATCTGCAATGGATGTTCTCAAGTAAATATTGTTAACATGTTCTTTTATTTTCCCATGAGATAAACACAAGGTATGACCTCGTGGAAAATATTAAATGGTATTTGTGATCCCGGTACGTTTTAAAAAGAAGGGTAAAATTAAAGTAAAATTTAACAGTTCCGATGAATGTTCCAAAATAGGTAACCTGATGAAGACGGATTTGATAAGAGATTTATACACAGCAGTATCTCGGCTACGTTTTTCTTGCTTATTAGGAGTAAAGTAAGTGCAATCAGTAATTCATATAAGGTTATATCCGGAGAACTAGCCGCATTATCATCTTGTGTTAACGAGGGTGTGGTAGATGTCTTTACTTTTTAGTCTTCTCAGTTAAACCCAAATCATTGATGCCTGAATTTCATAACAATCAGGCTATCCTCTAATAGGTCCTTTAATATCGGTCTTTTCCAAAATATTACATATTGGTTTATACGCCACAGTTTCTTGATGTCTATTTATTGCTTATAAAAAGTAAGGTTAGTGCAAGAAGTAATGTAAATAAGTTAATACCCGGAGTGCTAGCCGTATTATCATCTTGTGTGGATGAGGTTGGGAGAGAAGTTTTATCTTCGGATGGACGTGATGTTGGTTCTTCCGATTGTACGTTTTGATCACCTAGTGTTAAATGAAACGAATCATTACCGTTGATGCGTGAATTCCCTAACAATCATAGGCTTTATGATAGGTAAAAATAATACGTGATTATGTCCGAAAGATTACATATTGGCTTATACGAAGCAGTTTGTCGCTGCCTATTTATTGCTTAAAAAAGTAAGGTTAGTGCAAGAAGTAATGTAAATAAATTAATATACGATGTGCTAGCCGCATTATCAACCTGCAGATTCCCAATACCTATCTATTGGTTTAAAAAAGTAAGGCAAGTGCAAAAAGGGATGTAAATAAGTTAATACCTGGAGTACTAGCCGCATTATTGCCTTGCGTGGACAAGGGCGTGGTAGAAGATTCATCTTCAGGTGCAAATGTAAAACCTGGTAGATCTGGGTACGTCTCTTCACTGGAAGCTAAAAGATAAGTAATGTAAAAAAGTTTAACGGTTTTTGTAATTTTTATCACTATCCTGTTCTGAAGATGGGTTCAAATAAATTGCTCAAGTCCTTTAAGGGACTAACCATGCCCTCTGAATCGGGAATTTCAATCAAGATACCATTCGTGCAACAATTGATTTGCATTTCATTGTTGCAATCATCAGTGACATTCATGAAGTTCTATAGTTATATCTTTTCCATAGTAATAATTTAAAGAAAGTGATGTTGCGTTTTAAGATTTTGAAAGCTTGTTCACAAGATTTAAAAAAAATTTAAGTCATAATTTTAACACGGGATACCTTGACAAATGTGTTAAAGTATTTAAACTAGCAATATTATGAAATATTTTACCTTCGGGCTGATGATTGTTGCAATAAACACCAGCACTCTCTCGGCAGTACTTCTCTGTAATTGATTGATCAACAGGGCAATTCTCAAGACTAGCTTCAGTGCCAGCACAGTTCCACGCTTCTTTGAAATTGGTGTACTTCACATTCAGTTTATTGCCTCTTTTAAGCGATTTACCACTTGTCGCTCCTTTTAACTGCTTACAAACAACTGTAGCATCATTATCAGTCCAACTATCGGCACAAAGTCCTCCCCAAACACCATTCTTTACAATCAAAACTCTAAAATCGTCAATTATTTTCAAGGTTCCTTCAGCTACAATGAAACAATATATGAAATGAATAGATCAGATATGTATACTAACAGCCTTACAAAAGGAAGCTCAAGACGATTCTTTTCAGTGGGCTACCCACTTTCAGCCTATAATATGAAGGTATTTACCAAACAAATTGTCTTTTCAGTAAATACTTTGAAATTATCATCGGTCTCAAATTTCAGACAAACCATGCAAAAACTAGATTTCAGGAAGATTTAAAAACACTGTCAAAACCCACCAAAACTGACTAGTAGGTTTTTAGGCTTGTCTTTTATAGCGGGCGTGATGATCTGAAATTCTAGAAATATCTTTTTACATTATAGACCCAGATATAGATCAAGGGAACTTGACATCCGTTTTGAACAGTTTATGTACATGATTTTCATTTATACAAAGGTAGACCTGATGCTTTGTTAGTTCGTTTTGTAGAAGAAAGATACTAATTATCATACAAAGACCGGTTATCTTGTGCCCCACCAGTCATATTTTCATTTATAGTGTTATGTGATAAATGTCGACAGAAAATTCTGTAAAAAGACTGTTCGTTTGAGTGTGGCTCCGAAATTGAAACTTTTTATATGATTTACCATTAGAAAACTTTGTTCTTATAGTAAAACTTACTTCTACAATAACAAATAATTTCATAATGGGTTCTTTCTTTATACTGTTGAGAAATCAACATGAGTAACTTTACATACAACTACCTGGAATGGTTTCTCCAGTTTCACAAGCAATCGATGCAAATTTGGTATCGTCTTTCGTACCGGCTATTTCTTGGCAATCCATGAGGGATGTTTCCGATCCAGCACAATTGACAATTATTGGATCATCTTCCACCTCGAAAGATGATGATGGAATAACCTTACCCCCTTGGGGATACCCCATCTCGTGGCAAGCAATATTAGCCTCAGTAGCATCAAATGAATCAGAACTATATCGAATTTCCGTTTCAGTCTGTCTAACAGCTCCATAAGATATAAAGGGTGCTTCTTCAAGTTGAACTGAAAAATTGCAAATATCAAACACAAATGAAATATTCCTAAAAAAACCTTTCGTAATGGTATGGTGTAATTAAATACCTTAAAAACTGGCAATTGATCCCCCTTTTGTAATTTCACGGAGTTTGTTGCCAAAAGGTATTTGAATTTCATAAGCGTAAGCCAAGTTTACGAGATTATTTCATTGGTTTAAATTATTGAAAAAGTGAAAATATGAATAAAGAGCGGTTAAAACCGACTATGATAATTATATTGTCCCAAACTCCGGGGAATTTATCAGTTGTAATTTAATCAGAACAACTAAACGAGCTAGATCTATACGATCACACATCTTACTAAAATTGAACAGTTTGTTTGGATACGACAAAAGATTTATATATAAAATTTGCTTGCGTTTACTGAAATTAAAAGGACTTAAACAAATTAATAAAAACCGTTGTACCGTTTGAGAAACAATATACAGAAGCAGTTTTCCACGAGCAACTGTTTTCCGGCAGGTTAGTTGTAGATTCTATGTATTTCCATTGATCACCTTCACATCCTTCAATAACTTTAGTGTCGTCATCACAGTTGGTATTTACATACCACCATGTGGTTCCTGACGCAGTTACTGGTGTCATCTTAATTTCATCACCACCTTTGAAACCAAGCTCTCTACAAATCGTACCGGCATCTTCCTCGTCAAACTTTTCATAACAGAAATAACCTTGTTGATTTCCCCTTGTTACCCATACCCTACCAAATCTATCACCTCCGTCTCTCAGTTCAAATTTAGCTAGTAATAAAAATGATGATATATATGTGTAAATTTATGAAGATCTTTCTTGAAAGCAATTTTTATATACTAAATATCGTTTACCAAGACTTGAATCATATATAATACCCTGGTTGATAATAAAGATTCTCAAGGGCAATCATGATGAAAAATGAATAAACCAAATACTGAATATTATCTTGGTGAAGAATTCGAAAGAGAAAAGTAGTAGCATTAGGTGCCTTGTTTCGCTAAGGACACCATTGCACTTATTTCATATTTGTGTATATATAAAAAGTTTTTAGATTTGGACTAAAGAGCTTGAATCTAATAAATTTGAAGAATGATCTCGGAAACAGTATTGTTATCAACCTATCGATGTACATGAAGAACTACATTCTACTAAAAACTAAAATATAATTTGAAACTTACTGTCATCCGGGTTGTAGCAGGTTACAGCAGCTACTTTGGAGCATTCACCAGACGTAGTTTCTACAAGTTGACATTCTGATATCAATTGTTCATTGCCCAGACAAGTAACTGACTTGTATCCAACAGCGGTATTGCTATCTCTGGATTTCTTGTAATAGTTGGACGCACTGTATCCTAATTGTCGACACGCAACCGAAGCTTCTTTATCAGTCCATTCCTTATCGTCTACACAAAACTGGACAGGGTTGTTATTTTTGTTGTAGATCACAACACCATCATTATCCAGGTATATTATGTCTGAAAAGAAGAAATGCTGATTATGACTGAAATGAAACAAAATTCACTTGGACGAAGCAAATCAGAAAATAATAAATATTTGGAAAGTAATAATCTAAATAACTTCCTCATCTTCAAACTCAGTAAATGTACTGATATTCCCAATTTCCTCTTTTGTTTTATTCGGCGAATATAATATGTTTACGTTACATTTCGTTACACAAGTGCAATTGCCAAATTAGGTGGCATTTTCTACTACCGGTATTCCTTGTTAGTGTTGTGAAGAGGTCAAGTAAGCATACCACAGGCGTCAGGTGTGAACGTTGTCTTAAATCTTAGCACTGAAATACCCCTGACTGCATCTAAATCATCTAAAGTTCAAGTTCCAACTCAGTTAATTTAAACCCTTGTACAACAACTTCAAATTCAGCACCGAATATTTTAAGTCAAAGAACGAATCCCGAATCAACAACTGATATAGAGTACATGTGTACGTATCTTCCATCTTATAGTTAAATGTAAAGAAAGATGAGTGATATGAATCAGCACCTGGTAAATTTGCAGGTAAATTACAGGCCAGCACAGCAGGAACCAAGGAACTAGTATCAGCTATGGTGCTAAATGTACAACTTGAAGTGTTAGTTGCACCACTTGTACAATCCATATTGACCATTCCACCAGCGTTTTGGGTTTCGAAAATCTTTTCTGAGATTTTCCGTCCACCGTCTGGGAAACCAAGATCTTTACAAATCAGATTAACCTCGTCTGAATCTAAAGTAGCATCGTTAACTGTAGATGGTTGAGAAGCATCCGATGCTTTATAATTCACTATACCAGACAGACCATTGCCACTAAGGTAGACTAAAACAGAAAACAAAATTTTCATAGACTAGAAGTTAGTTTCATCATAAAAAGTATGAATATGTAGAAAAGAGATTCATGTCAAATTTCTCAACGTAACCATCTCTTTTCTTATCTATCCTCCGTGTAGCATAAAACATTTGTTCAAGATGACACCTTAGATACCAGCTCACTGATTCCAATGAAAATCACTTAGCAGATGCACTTTCATCAATGTCCACGCAAGTTCTCAAAGTGTAAAGAAAAATTGTGAAAAATGTAACCGTAATTTCCAGCCTAATCAGAATTCATTTTTGTAATTATTTGTAGTATTTGAATAATGTATCATTTCGTTGTATTCTATACTTTTAAAAGAAATTTAAGGAAGTCAGAAGTTCTGTAAAAACTATTTCGACAATAAAAATAGGATTTGCTACACTTACCACCGTTATGACATATTATCAATTTAACATAGTCTTGAACTTTTGAAAGGTCTTCAGTAAGCGTCCAGTCGTTCTTGAAACATTCGTCTGTAGTAATACATTCACCTACAGATTTAGTATAAACAGCCAACCAATATTTTCCTTGTGGTAAGGACGAAGATCCAGGTAGATGGAAATCATTTCCAGATGTATACCCGAGACTTTTACAGAGTTTTGGAGCTGGTTCATTATCACTTTGTCTTTTGTCTAGTTGAATGGCCAGTATACCTTTCTCATTTTTACTGCTTCTTTCTATGAAGTGGTTACCAACTGATTTCCCACCGTCAGTGAAAGTATATACACCCGCTGAAGAGAATGGAGAAGTCAGTTTTCAATTTATTAGTGGATAATACAAGTAAAATAATTAGCAGTCCCCGGAAACTCCGGTCTTCTGAACTATTCAAACATGTGACTATATCGATGACAGAAATCGCTTTAACATTGAAAACTAGTATGCATAACAGAAGTTTATGAATAAAATCATATCAGAGGTGACTTCCATGGTACAATTTTCAGTTTATTTGGTTCAATAAATCTCAATTGGTTACCTGTTTCTGTATTAAAACATTGTGCTTGAGCCACATTGTTACATCTTGTATCCCACATGTCTTTGTTACATTCAACTGGCTTAGTATTACCAGAGACACAGTTTAGGCTCTTGATCCATACTGGATACAGTCTGTTTACTCTATATGATTCTACCTTACTGGCCTTACCATTATTGAATCCCAATGACTTACATACGACCACAGCATCAATATCAGTAAAACTATCACCACAGATGAGCCCCCATGCGTCATTATATCTTATCTCTACAAGACTCTGATGTTCGCTAATTTTTACAGTACCGTCGCTGATATCTGTTTAATATAATATACATGTCTATAGTACAGTTTATAATAATTATGTTATTATGGAGTTTTAGAGATAAAAGAAACTTTTTTCAATCATGTGCAGAAAATAATTTTCAGTTTTTAACAGATTGAACACGCTCAGATCAATCTTACCTGAATTTGTGCAAGCGACTACAGCTGGTTTATATGATGGATTCGTTACCGGTGAAGTAGGACAGTCCAAGATAGTGTCTTCAGTTCCAGCACATGTGTATTTATCAGTTACATATGTATTCACATCTTGAGTACTCCCAACTACTTGGTCATCACTTATTTGACTTGATGTATTAAACCCAAGTTCTTTGCAAATTATTCTTGCACCTGTAGCATCAATAGCACTAGGATCTATATATCCAGAATTCTTGTTTGGTGGTGATAAAACGACACGTCCAAATCCTCTTTCACTTAAGGACGGTTTTAAATAACTTGATGCTATGTTTAACTGAACTGAAAGAGGAAATTAATATCTTATTGTTCAAGAGATACTCTTTGAAGATATTACTTTTAGTGAATAAAACCAATACCGCTGATGCTGCTAATTATCATATACTGAAGTGAAATTATTGGATTCATGAAGTTCTTTCAATTCTACACGGTGGTGACTATTCTTATGACCGGGTCACTCTCATCTTCTCATGGTTTGACGCAAGCAGAACGGTCAAAGACCATGCCACTGGCGATAATGTTTGGTCAAATGCAGTCATTGTCTTACTGTTCAACCTCAGTACAAAATACGTGTATGTTTTTAATAATGAAATATACAGACCTTTTCCAGTACAAAGCACAGCAAGTGTTGATGATTGGCAGTGTTCGTATTGACTAGTTCTAGATGCACTGATCCATTTCCTAGTAGCGTATGCATCCAATGATGGTATTACACTTGCCTGGTCGGAACGCGTAAATTCATTGTACCACCATTCTAATGCAGTGACCGGTGTCGTCATTTTGTAACCGCTTCCATCCTCGAAACCAAGAGATTGGCACACCGCTGGAGCCAAATTCTGTGTTTCATCATTTTCTCCAGGACATACCGGTTTCCAGACACCTCCAATATTCTGTTCTACATAACCATAGGTAGGGCCACCACCGGCTAACCTGACAGATACTGCAGTGAAGTAGAAACAGATGTTAGGTTTAGTTAGAAACTTACCTGATCCATACCTCAGGGAAGGAGTGGGGGTTTAATTATTTCAAGGGAGCTCAACAGTGGAGATGTGGAAAAAGGCATTGAAAATAAGTAAACTTATGTAAACTTCAAGAAAAATTTCGAACACACATTCAAGTGGGCTCCATATCTATTACTCGTTGTGTATAGAATTAAGTTGTTTGTCGTGACGAGGCAGATAGGACTCCTTTTACAATGTTTTATATCAAAGTTTCTATATCTGTTTATTTTTTTAAAACGGATTAGCTTCAAGCATGGGAAGTCTGGTGCAATTCACTGACTCGTTCAAAATTAATTGACGAGACATTACACGTTGTCCTTTAATGTATCTTAATTGTAGTTTAGTTATTTCCCTTACCTGCGTCAGTAAAATTTATCCAAAGTGAACACACTAAGCAGAGATACATCCACCATCGCATTCTGTATTGTACATGAACCTTGAAATTAAACGAAATTGAGTTTTACACCCTTCCTCTCTCTATAACGGTTATTTAAACGGGCAACGCCCTTTTAGTGTGTGGTGACGCGTTTCCTTTTCCTTCCTTTATATTGTCCTAATTTCATGTGTTAAGTAGTCATGAAACATAATAATGTTTATACTATGTAGAGTGTGCTATGATGCATGAGGTTCAAAGAGACCTTTATTAATTTGAAAGGAATTGTTAACGCAAGCAACCTGTAACACGGAGTCTTATTCGAATAATATTTTTGCAATCTATTTCCCAAAACTGTTAACAGTCAAAACTAAGTATTTTTTTAGTACACCTTGACCTAGATATGCGTAGTATCTTGAGTGTTTATTCATCACTCACCTGTCTATGGATAATAATAATGTAACTTACCATACCGATTAAACTGATGAAACTCGCTCAATGTGCTATGTTTATATCATGTAATTTTGTTAATCATTGATCACATGTCAGTTAACATGAAGTTGCTTAAAGACAAGTAAATCAGTTACTAAAAATATATAGTGTCTTCTTTCTATATTTATTTCGCAATCCATAGCGACGACGACGACGACGACATCTCGTCGAGAACAGTTTTCAATACACAGGTCCAATTTCAATTCATTCCACACATGTTTCGCTTGTTTTTCATAGCAACCGATGTTTCATTTTCCTTTATATTCCTGTTTCTAACTGTATTATAAAAATCAATGTATATATATAGTTTATTTGTTTATAATAAACCTAGGAAACTATAGGATGTACAGTAGGTATTTATCGACTAAGTCTCTAAATAACTTGTTTAAAGAAGGCAAAGGTATCAAAGATATCAAATGAAAATTGGTCAGGACATCGGCATTTATCAATCGACTAGATGCTTTTTCCATGTCGGCCCCACCGACCTGCATAACTGACAAGGTGAAACCGGGATAAAACATTCGAAGGTATTAAGGATTAAACCATGGACTTTCAGGTTAATTAGCAACCGGCTTACTGTTCCACAGCGGCTACCTGCCAAGGTCAATGCAATTAAATATTTTTCTTGTAAAATAAGGACACATTTTTGTCAGCAAAGTCAAAAAATTTTTGGATTTTTTTTCCAATATCTTTTTTTTAAGTTTGGAATAGCAGCCTCAAAATAGTACTATTAGTCTAAGAATGTCTTTGTGTTGATCTAAATATTAACATAAGCACAAATTATGTCTTCAAAATTTGCTGCACAGAGGACAATTTTCAGCCAAAATTTGAGACGTTTTTGAAAGAAAAATGTGATTATTCTGAAATGTGACGCGAACCGTCAAATGAGGATACTTGAAATAAATTAAACCTGCACAAAGTGGGAAATTTCAGAGAAATATTACGCGAAATTTCTTCCGAGGTGATGATGATTACCCTCAAAAGGTGAAAGTCGATTATTTAACCATCGACCATTAAAAGGTCATTCGGTCTTGTGATCAAGATGAGATCGAAGAAGGCTTGGAAGAGCCGAATAATTGATATGCATATGTGGGCGTATAAATATATGCGATATAGCTACATCAATGAAGGGTTGGCGCACACAAGAGATACATATTCAATTCCGTACCAATCAAAGTAAGACATACACTTTATTATAGGAAATGATGTTGAGGTAACATTTAAAGCATTGCGCAATATTTTTTTAATCGATATGAACAAATATTGCATAATCTTTGAAAGGAAGCTGTATGCAATTATTATTATAATTATTATTTATATTTCATCTTCGTGTTTTGTAATATTCATGCAAAGTTCATGATGATAACCTAACTTTCCCACCTATTATAGTGTCCGTTTAAACATGACAACGCAGTTTGCCTACATCGAGGCCCGCCTGGTTGATGAAGACATATGAATGTCCACTCTACTCCGAAGCTACATTAATTCGATATATGCAGGAAGAAATCAGGAGTGCAAATGAAAATGAGACATGAGTTGCTGTGCTCAAGGATTTGCCTTTAAGTCCTGAAGTAAGGTATATTTGCTAAAACGTTTATTAAAGCGTGCAGTGAAATAATATAATGTTGGAATATCGATGCTCAATTTCATGAAAATTACCATAACGATAAGTATCCCATACCTTATCTGAAAAAAGTATCCTGCCGTCAATTTTTAGAACGTCAAAATCATCAAAATTTAAAGGTTTACGTAAACCTTTTATAGTCGATTAATTAGAAGTAAGTAGCATATTTTAGAAATATTTCCATGTATAATTTACTATCATAAATCATGGCAATTTTGCATACTGCCCCTTTAAAGCATTTCACAATATTTGTCTTATTAAAGTACACGCAAATATTGCTCAATCACTTTAAGGATATCCGTATCTGTCGCCGTATCAGTTGCTATCACATTTTCTTTTTTCAAGGGCATCAAAAACCCACCAAAGTATTTCTTTCATTGTTGCTTTCATGGTTCACCCAGGAAAAATGAAAATTGATTTTTCAAACACTATTAGATACATGTTGGTTTTGAAATCTCCAAAAACTTTTTAGGCCTGATATGATATCTTTTTATTTTGTATTTTGACTGACAGGTGTTTTAATTTAATCTTTATATACAGTTTATTTCGCAAGCTTTGTCTTGAGTTAAATGCTACCTTTAATAATGATTTCATAGGTCAAGTAATTTTCCATCGAAGATTTAACATAATAGTATTACACTGTTATCAAAAAAGGTATTATTTAAGTAATGAATGTGGATCTTGTTATCGTTATGGGGAAATAAACGCTGGTTTATCATGTTAATAATTACTATAGCAACGCATTTCTTTCTTGAAAGATTTCAAATGATTAAAAACCAACTGAAGTCATTGTAAATCCCTCAGGTCAAAATATAATATGATTGATATTTATATGTTTTCCTTATTATCATGATTTGATGTGTTCATCACGTTATGTATAAGTCTTGTCAGTTTTGTTTATGCCCCCATGGTATTCTAGTGTATTGAGAGTGTGTGCCTACAAAGTTCAGATATTCATTATTAGTTTTATGAGTTAGCTCAACGCTACTTTTATACTGAGGTAAATCGTCAACGACGGAATGATTCGTTGATGCAGTTAATGCTTTTTACATGAGTGCCAAGATATTCATTCCGTTACATTCAGAAGAAGTATGACCTCGAGGGAGGAGCCAATATAATCAGGGTCGCTCTCTATTAGACAGTTGGAAACTATACGTGGGCATGCGCAACACGTTTATTTCCGCCTCGGGATAAAAAACTTCGATTTAACATGACAGTCTATATACTGCCCTACATTTCCTTGTTTTTAGATAAATAAACATTTTTTCAAAAATATTTCCTGGTCATTTATCTGTTTTCCTCATTTTTCTAATCATATAATCTTGATAATTGCAAGCGTCTTTAATATCAGCGGAGATAATTCGTTATCAACAATTTGGGTTAAACATTGCAGTTGAAACTTGTATAAAGCCGCGAATAAGGTGCAGGAATATCGATGTAGTTGAAAATAGAAGAAGTTAATACACTGGTCCGGACACGATGAGGACATAATTCGCATCTATTTTCTACTCTACGATGGCTATTACCACCTAAGGATAATAACGTTCAACTCGAAACAGAGGGGGTAAATGAAAATGGTTGAGGGTACTACTAAGTTGATGTAACTTATTATGTTCATTGTCTTGGGCAAATTATGTAGAAATGACGTCATATATATCTAAAGAACATTTAATGCTATTGAATGGGTTTATGAATTTCCAACAGGTTCCATCCGTAGATTCACGGGGCAGAAATTTGCCACCATAGATAAGAACGGAATACCAATTCGCTTACCAACTTATTGGCACATGTACATTCCTCTAACTCTTTGACACATAAATTGTCGACAACATCTCATGGCATTGTTACCCGATACTTGACAACGTTGATTGCGGGTTTTGCACTAAAATTACAAAAAGAAAAAATGAATAATTCCCTTATTGCGTCTTTATTCGGATCAGAAAGAGATGATGTTACACTCACGGATTCAATAATATTATCCCCGTTGTTTTGATGGCGTCACACTACAGGCCTATTGAAAGCGTCTTGCTAATTATCCACGTTTTATTATAAGGAAACGAGGTCTAAATGATAATTTTAATAACCATTCGATTAAAAAAAGCATGTCATTATTAAAGTGAATAAAAAACTATTAAATGTTCATGCAATGTTAAAATGAATAAAACCATACTCACCATGCCACCATTGATACCACCAACGCCACCTACTCCACCTATGGGGCTACCTACTCCACCCATACCTGGACGATATAGATATCTCTTATATACATCACTGTCTTCTTCTGATCGTACACATACCACTACAGCCAGGACAACAAGGGCGAAGAGCATAAATTGTTTCATCTGAAATAAACAAAAAATAGAATGACATTTTTTCCCATGGCATGTTCATATTGATTCAACTATTGCGCGAATCAAATCTTTACAATTAAACATTAGCAGAACACAATGCAGACAATTACAAACGTTAATGTTATAGTATCACCAACGAGTTATTTAATATAAATTATATAGAAAAAAATATGACACAAATGCCGTTATTTGGTCATTTTTAAGACTTTCATATATTGCATATTTCTGTAGCAAAACTGCATGTCTTTTGCGATCGTGACCCTTCAAAGTCTCCAACTCTTATTGTAACAAATTAAAATTTTAAAAGAATCCAAACCATTAACAACAAGTCGAGTTTTGAATAAGAAGCACATGTACCTTTACTGTTATGTATACTTGAAGTGTTAATACTGACTATCAGTGCCGGCATTATTTATACTACATAACTGTTTTTATCATTTCCAGATTGAGGAGCGATATGACCAATTTGATGACATTTTGACATTTTGGATTTTGTCTCGATGACATTTGGTAACATGTGGTATGCGATGTATAATAATCAAAGATTCGATCTAATGACCATTGCAAATTGTCACCATTTCACTGAAAGACTATCCATCGCTTCGTGTGTTACCACTGTTCTCTGTGAATCGATATTAACAACAATACAGGTGACTTCAAAATTACTTGTCTTGGCATTATCTCCCTGTGCGATTTATTTGTTTATTTAAAATAACGAGCAGTTTCCAAGCAAGATACGCCCACCTAGACAATAGATTTCGAGTATTTAAAGGGCTGACATAATTTTTTGTCAAATCGTACCCAATATCTAACTTGTCTAAGAACTAGTGAATATAAACCTAAACAACAAATTTCATAAATCCTGCCAAAAACTGCTACCTTTATCTCTTTCACAAAGGGTTGAGATTCCGTTATCATTTGTAGAATCATACCTCAAAATCGAACATGGAGAAAGGTAGACAGAGGCGACGACTATATACGTCCACATTAGTATACGGTCGTAAAAAACCAAATTCTGTGCTCAAGCTCGAAGCTCAATGATAAATAACAAGTTATTGAAAATTCGCAATATTTGCAAGTAGAGTGTTAGTCGTGAGTCTTTGGGAAACAAAACATGGATTGCAATTCTGCTTAAGTTCTGCATATTGAACAGTTCATTTTCAGATTGCACACGATTTCATAGAAACCAAACAAAACAGTGTTTTGCTAACATAACAAATCACCGGGCTGGGTTGGGCTGGGCAGTGTTAGCAGAATAAAGACGTTTCTATGTATATAGTTAAGTTTTACTGTATAAGAGTGAATTGAATTTGGCCTTCTGAGAATATCATATTATGCAAATAAATATAACCGGTCGTGAAGATACGCGTTATTTTGTTTTCTTTGGGGATTGGCCCTAAAAGGTTACCGAAGAATTCATCCACTTCAACCCCAATGGTGTAGGATTACATTGTACACACGTTTTACATTAACATTTTAACATAAATGATTCGAACTCATTATCAATAACTTCACCTTGTTCAGGATTCAACAGGTTTGAGCAAAACGTAATCACAAGGTTTTTTTTTCACAATGTAAAAATCAAAGTTGTTTTCTTTGTTTTAAAACGTTAAATATTGGAATACCAAATCTTAGGCTATACAGTGTAATGCTAGTAATATAGCTACCAAAGGAAAGTTCAAAATGTATCTTCAAGAAAAACGCCTTCTCTAATAAACATATTTTTTGGTTGGTTCGTTTGTACAATATTATAAATCCAGACTTAAGTATAGGAAAGAGCTAAACTTTTCTCTAAAGACTCCTTCCTACAATTTGAAGCCAAAACTGTAAATAAAATTACTCAAGATATTGTTTAATTCAAAACTGTAAAAAAGCACCATGTTTTCAGTGCACATTTATTAGTATAAAAAGGTCAGAGACTTTGCTAGTCTACAAAACATTCATTTGTAAGTACTATGAGAATTTGAGCTTTACGTCTATACTTGCTTGGGGTGTTACGAGTATCTAAACTTCCCTCCCGGTTATATTCTATCTGATGTAACAATAAAATAGATGCCACAGTGGATGAAGGGCGTAATCCAAACCAAGGATCAATACTTACAGGTTTGGCCAATCACTAGCAGGTATGAATTAGACGATAGTCTCAGTAGTTTTATCCTTGTAAGATATGAATGATTTATCTATTCAAATATGTAGATAGGAGACAAAATCAACGATTAGTAATTTGAATCTTGATGAAATGAGAAGTGATTAGTATGAAGCGTATAGCATTTTGATTGTTACCTTAAAAAAAGTCAATTTCGAAATAGTATAAAAGTTAGTCATTATTGCAGGAAATTCTTTTCATGGATTCCAGATCCCAGCAATTTTCATTCAATATTAGTCTACTAATCCAATGAAGTTTAAAAAAATTAACTGGCTGTCTCCGACGAAAAACTTGAGGTTGAGCCTATTCATTCAGTGTTGTGGTTTCCATGTGAACATGAAATTTCGTTGAGATTTATATGTTTAAGAAAGCAAAGCAAAATTTAATGTAATGACGAGCTATTTGTTTAAGTCACATTACCATAGAGAGGTTCTATTTTGACCCTGTTTGCTATAGTAATGATCTAAATAAAGCAATATGCGGGGTATATAAGGAAATCGGCAAGCCATTGGTTGTGAGATTCAAAGTTAAAAACGGAACCCATCATATTTAGCATACTACGATAAAAATCAAATATGAATAGTTGTATTATATTGGCTGTGGCTTTAGCAGGTAAACAATTTTTTTAATTAGATTTTGCTCCGCGCAGATAATTAAAATGAATTTTTATTTGAAAAAAAAACAAACATAAATTTTGTATGTTAAGTTAACTGTAACATCTAAGTGGAAAATACAAATCACATTTTTAGAGGTGTCGATTTTAGCTATTGGTTTCAATATAAATAACATCTTGATTGCCGATTTCAGCTATCAACATCAATACAAATGACATTTTAAGAGATGCTGGTTTCAGCTATTGGCATCAATACAAATAGCATATTATGAGGCGCCTTTTTCATCTATTGGTAGACAATTCCTGACTAATTTCTTTGTAGTAACAATAGTTTCCATATCTGGTTCTTAGTTTTTGCAGTCTGCTATAAAATACGGCTTTTTTTTTTAATTATTTGCTTTTTGAAAGGTGGTAAAATACAAGGTACGATAAAGCAATTCGTGTTTGGATCCATAAAATGTTCATTCGCTTGCAAAACATCTTCCTTGATCGAATTGTGAGATAGCGAAACACAGAGTAGAACAATTTGATAAACTCTACAGGGTTTTTGAACAACTATACCTATATGGCACGCTTTGATTACAACGAAGACAAATATATCAGATAACTAACTGAAAAAACAGAAAGTTGTAATCTTATTTTAATTTGATTGATCTATTTGTAAAGATAACATAACGACGATTTTATCTTCCCTTTGGTAATAAGAAGAGATGTCTATTTGGAACTTAAACTATAGTCTTTCTTTTTTTCAAGGTATTACACAATGTTTTGGTGAAGTTGTGATTGATAAAAGTACAACTTGTGGACACTATACAGATGAAAACAAAGATTGTTATTCAAATTCAGATGCTACTTACAAACTTAAAAAACTGCAATATATAACAAATTACGATGGTGTTGAAGGTGCACTTAGTGTCAACGCCAATTTAACACTGATTTGTGCGTAAGTACAGTTTCATCATTTCACGAAATATAATTTGAGAAAATTTTATCATAAAATGAACTACAACAAAGTTGCCATGTTTGCAAGTTTCATATTTTTTATAGATTTAGTTGACTTATTTCACTTTGACAAGGAGTATCCCAATTAAATTCAAAAACATTGATGTTTCGGTCTCATGTGAAACATGAATTAGCTGCCACCAATTGTTCGCCATAATGTTTTGGATTTCGTTTGGCAGTTTAGATGGTTAGTCCTTGGTTTATTTATGTCCAGGAAACGTGAGGTAAATATACAAAATGCATCACAGAAACTACCACAGACATTCCCGAGTTTGTTAATAAACGAGCGTAAATATAACATGGCTGTGTATTTTGTTAAAATTTCAGCGAGGATTTAACTGTATTGAAACCAGTTTCAAGCTGTTTGGTTAATTCTTACCGCAAATGTGCAGATAACGATTTTAAAACGCTGATTCCAACGGCCGAGCAGTATTCTAGTGCTATAGAGTATGCCTGCAACAATAAAGATGGTAAATACTTTTATTTTAATAGATTTCTTCTGTGTCATATGGAACTTAGCTTAGGATTAATTACAGATGTCAAGAAAAAAAAACGAAACCATCCTAAATGGAATGCTCTGCAACAAAGCCCTCTTATGCAACTCTAAGAAAAAATGTTGAGAGATGGGATGGGTTTAAAAGTTGAAGTTTAGGTTTGTAATGTCTCCGATGTGGAGTGTTTGGCTGATATAGAACAATTATAACGATAACATGGAAGAAGATACCGTTTGCTATAGGCTGTGAACGTGAAAGATCAGTTCAGGACTTTAAAACACAAATGAACAGGCTTATGACCAATCGTGACAAAATTCCACCTCATGTCACACTATTTAATGTCCTTTTTCATTAGTCAAAACTGGAAAAGAAGCGTCGGAAATTACCCTTTCATGTTTTTGTACACATTGAATTTTTACAGCTCTTCAATCTATCTACAATTGTTTTGGTGATTCAATCACGGACTGTATTTTCAATAAAAAAGCAAGACAATCATTGACTGACGGAGCAGAGCCTGATAGAAGTAATGAATTCTCAGTCTGGACTAAATATCACTGTGGGTGAGTACGAATCTATCTCGTGTCTCTTACGTGACACTTGACACGTGTCCAAACAGGAAGGGACATAACTCAAGTTATAGCATGGCATGTTTCAACAGACTTAAAGAATTAAACTGTATTTAAACTGAAATTGGCAAAAAGACACATCTCATACCAATGTACCCTTACATTCTTCGTACAATACGGTCAAATGTCCTCTTTGGTCGATAGTCAATGCAAAAAATTTCATAAAATCAGCCCATCTGCTTTGGTCGACGACTGATCAACTGATGGTCCATGTGGCAACTACTGTGAATTCTCATTTGTCGATTTGCTCATGTGTACATAATTCAGTGATGAATCAAATTGTCCGATATGTCGTCAGTCGGTACTATGTAGTTAAAAGGTCCATCTGAAACAATATTTTTTGCTACGTAGCAATTCATTTCTCAAGAATAACTTAAGAGTGCATCTTTTATATCAGATTATTTGTAAAAATTGACTTTAATGATTGGAGTTTAACCTCCCAAATTGTGTGAGATGCATCTTGATTTTGAATAAAATCGAAATGTTTATAATTCTTAATTGTAGGCGAAGAGATATTGAGCTGGAATGCAGGAAAATAGATGAGGATTTTAAAGATTGCAGCAATGCAGACTATACTATTTATGAAGAACTGATGAGTAAACTCAAACCTAAGGCATGTAACGGAGTGAAAGGGTTAATGTACACCACGTCATTATTACTTGTTTCTGTTTTCAGTTTGCTTCACAGATATTTTTAATTGCGGTTATCTCCCATGAAATATTTCATTTCATTTTTTGCCTTTTTTTTATTCACACACTCTTCTTCGTAAAAATAAGAACACTTAGATTTGGGCCTCTAAATTCTTATATAAAACAAGGATTAATAATAAATTGATTAACATGGAAGACCTCACACTACCATTCCAAAATCACGTAAATCACTTCATAAATGAAAATATTTTTTCGATGTTAAATAATAAACCTGAAATGAAAGTAAAAATCTAACATTCCATGTACAACCAAATTATATTTTGACCTGAGGGATTTGCAATGACTTCAGTTGGTTTTTAATCATTTGGAATATTTCAAGAAAGACCATGTATATGCGTTGCTATAGTAATTATTTCATCATATTTTTGTATCTAATCTTTTTTGTTTGTACGTGTTATTGATAATAAAAAAGTTAATTCTCCTGCTTTTAGTTACGTCAATAAATTATTAAATTGAAACTTGGTAGAGAGACAGCAGCACATTTTCTGGACCAATTGACTTTTGGGCCCGAGCCATTTTTTACTGAGTACCCTGAAGTTAAAGCCCTGATGAAGCTCTGTGACTGATAACTTCCATTCATTCGCAATGATGAATTGACAAGCTCATTTCGATGATCAAAGTTATGAAGATTACCTGATTTACATCCAATTAGACAATGGTTGAATCTTGTCTAGTCTCGTCAGTGATATTCTACAGTGGACAGCGATATTTAGTTGAACGGAGGGCGCATAACACTTAATGATACGTTAAACAATTACTTGTCCAAATCACTTTCAATGTTGTACCTTCGATAGGTGATACGGGTTGGATGATAGCCGACACAGACCTCTCTGAGGCAACCGGCATATCATCAAAATGTTTCTTACCTACTAGTCGACCAACTTGCTACCGACTGAGCAATTCCACCACTCCGTTCCATTGATACATCAATCAGCTATTAGTTAGATGGCTAATTAAAATTGAAACCGTAACAATTGTCAGGTTTAGAAAAAAGCAAAAAGTTATACGGGCCCAGTATGGTTAACTTCAAGCGAGTCAATTATCGGTGTTAACGCGGCTATTGATGCATTTCTGCAAAAGATGGAGGCGAGTCTTGCAAAAGAGGAAATCAAAGTTCCAGTAAAATATTTTCTGCATGTTTCTACTTTTCTATGACTAACATTGTTGGATGAAGATCAATATAAAATATATCTCTATCTCGCGTTATCAACATTAATTATTCAGTGTTACAGAATAAACTACATTTAATCATACCGAAATAGTTATATTAAATTTTAGTACACGCTTCATCAATACCGAACCATATAAACTTTCTACAACGATTTTAACATTGAACTTTTTGTAGACTATTGCATGGCAATATTAAAATCGTTAAGTATGTTTATAATAATCAAAGGAATGCGACTCTTTCAATGATTTAAGGACATGGTGGAAGTTATTGAAGGTAACCAAAAGACCAAACTTGTTATGAATCTCCAAAATTGGGCTTATGCTATCTAAATACAAACTGTGAAAATATAGGATATTTGTGTAAACACTGTACATGATAAATAGACGTGAAATATACATTGTAAAGAAATACCTTTCAATTATAACATTCCGTGACGGGCATCACAAATAAACAACACCTTCAACTATCTTGTCTAGAACATTTAAGTCATTGCGTTTGATCTATTATAGCATTTATCAATGATCCCAAGACTTGCACAAAGGACATCTCAGATTCTTACCACAGCATTTGTAATATGAATTTGATTGATTGAAGTGAAATATGATATTATTTCCTAAATGAACGTTTGGTTGGTTATTGACTATATAGAATGGCTCGGAATCCATGAATTATATAGTATTGGATTTTAACACGATCTCGACAACAGCTGTTGTTGATCAACTATTAAATAGTTCACATAATACTACAACAAGTGGTAGAGTTTTTACTTGCATCCATTTATATGATTTACAAAGAAATAGAGGAACTTTCTGAATGGAATTACTATTTCTTCTACTGTAGGTATTTTTTTTAATATATTTCGGTTTTACCTTGTAAACTACAATATCATCAGCTTTAAGGCAATACTTACCATGTGCCGGTACAGAATAGAGGTTTTGGTCATTCGTTGCGAAATAATTTTGACCTTGAGTTGGTTAAAGGGGCCAAGAGATAAAGTGGATGTTTGACAGCTAAGTTGCTATCCATGGAAACCTTGACTGAAAATCACTTCTTTGTCATTGGCATTGTCATTAACCCAAAGGCATTTTTAAGAATAAGGGTACTATTTTGGAGTTGATATTTCGGTTTATATACGAAAAATGATATCCAAATGCGGTTCTGTTAACGATCTGTTAATCGGCATCAACATTGAACCAGGATAAACTACGTATTCAAAAAGTCAAAACTTCACATTGAACCAAAAACGAAATGTCTTTAGTTACGACTTTTATTACATCCCAAGAATCTGAGAAGTCAATAATTGAAAGTTTTCACATTTTAACTAACTTAACTAATTTTAACTAGTAAGATAAGTTTATTGCATCAAATACACACATCATACAACCAAAGTTACGTTTGAGAAAGGTACAAAATTACAAAAAGGAAACAAAAGGTGGTATTTCTTGTAAACTATAATACATTGTAATAATTCATAGGGAAAGTGATATATTTATTATAAAAATACAACGTACTAATAGAACATGATGAAAACTAAAATAAAGACTCGAATAAATTTCTCAGAAATTGCATATAGAATAGATAATATAGTACACAATAGATGGTATAATACAAACTATTTAATGTATATTGAACACGGCATATATAATTAAAGTAAATAATGTGAAAAATAATAAATATGATAATGAAAATTTCGATCAGCATGAACAAATCGGCATATACCAAAAACATCAATGAGTTAGACATAAGACCACACAATATCAAAATTTCGAATTTGGGGTTTGGAGAGGTGTGTAGTCAAAGATGCTTTAATATTTTGGTATATACACAACTGTAATTTGAATTATTCCCCCTTATTCATCGGTTTTCGAATAGCAGTACTATTACACTGTCAAAAGGTAAGGCAGATTTTGTGAGTGTGTTGTTTGACAGGTTGACTTGTGCCGCCTGTGTGGCAGATTTGATTCTTGTGGCTAGGTTTGGCTTAAATTCGTTGTGCAAGAAAAGTAGTTTTAGGTCTGTATTGTTTTATGTATGTAAACATCAAACATTTACCTAACGTAATGATAACTGCGACTACTGTGGAAGAATGTACACTAAGATGTCCCGCTGTGACAACCGTGACAAAATTAGGACGGACTTAAACTCTTAAGAAGGAGAGTTAAAGTGAAGGATGTGATATCCAATGCTGAAGACAACAGTGGTGCAATTTTCTGGCAATGTTAATGAGCTTAAATTAAACACTGCTTTATGACAAGATGCATTTCCGGCATAAAATTCTCACCGCCCCTTTAATTTTCAATAAATCAATATAATACCAACTGCTTCAAGAACACACCAAAGTAAAACGATTTAGGTGAAGATTTAAAGATGGTAACCTCTATTCATTAGGGTTCTGGAATTAACAACCATGTCCTACCTGGTCGCCAATTTCCAAACGATGAAAAAGTATAATATGTGTTTCTATATACACATTTGTATCTTCAGGTAAGCGTGATGTAATTTGTAAAGTTCTCTGGCAGACCTTTTGATTAATTTTATTTCAGATAACTTTGGTGTGTTATTGAATTAATCGCACGAATAAAGATATCAATGCGATAACATACTGGTGTTGAAGATGGTTGATAAATATGAACCATTGAAAGATGAATCATCAGGTAATAACTTAGAAAAAAATTAATTGTTATTTGTTATTTTTGTTGACACATGAATAGTGTCGCTGAATATTGTATTGATTGTGGTTTATATCCCTCGTCGTCCAATAGCGTTATAAATCTTTTTATTAGAAATTTCCACACTCCTATCAAAATGTTTCTGAATCATTTTCCACCTAAAGCCGACTTGAAGGTTTCAACGTACGTCCATAAGGTATTGAGTGATAAAATTAATGATTTAAGAGTTATGCAATCCTCCGAAATGATATTTATTGGCAATAAACCGTTAAATAAACTTTGGGCTCATAATCAAAGTTTTTATTTCCGAATTGAAAATTATTTCACTTGTGTTTTACAATTGGTCATGATGCATTATTTGTAATCCATTAAATAGATCAATTTATTTATATATTGAGCAGGTTCACCAGGGACAGCTCAAGAGGAAGAGGGAGTTTATCATTATGAAGATATCATCGGCAAATTTAGTAAGTAAATATTACGTTATACACGGTTTTGTGTTCCTGACAGGGAAGTACCTTGAGGCGTCTTTGACAATTTGAGTGGCACCTATTCATAATATCAATCATATCTGTATTCATTGTGCAAGAGTATATACCCAATCAGGGCTCTAAACTTGTCTTGGAGTTGCTTTTGCACATATCCATATATGCATAGGAAATAAAGTAACAAAGCAGTATATTGTTATCATTCAACACCATGTTAACTAAATTGTCACATATTATATCAAGCAACTTAATTATAACTTTTTCAGAATATGGTAAATTTTTCTTTGCTCATTTGTTTGTGTGCAGCTTGGCAGCGGCTGCAGATTCCATAGAAATTATGTCATTATCTATGATATTGCCTTCAGCGACATGCGATTTACAACTCACATCAGTTTTTAAAGGATGGATTAATGCTTCTGTTTTTATAGGCAAGTTCTGGAAAATTTCTATTTTACAATTTATCTCACTTAATTCAAAGTTAAGGGATTATTAAGCTTCTTCTCCCTTACTGACAAGATCGCCTTTTGCATCATCATTTATCACCTTCCGATTTACTTTTATATCTTTTTGCAGACGAAAGGACTGAAAATCTCTTGTTTTTCTCTGTAGGTATGACGTTAGGCGGTATTGTCTGGGGTCCATTAGCAGATGTTTCTGGTCGAAAATCTATAATGTTAACGTCCTTAACATTAAATTGGGTAGCTGCATTGATTTCCAGTTTTGTAAATAATCCTTACGTATTTACCATTCTTAGATTTTTCAGTGGCCTTGGGTAAGTATTGTCAGGATACTCCAATGTGCGAAGTCAATCGAGATAACAAATAGCCAAACGCGGATATAGACTAAACTATAACATTTGTAGACACGTTAGAACTTTATGAAACCCGTACATTGTATTTTCTTTCATTTACTCATGATTGCAAAATTTAGATCAGTGTCAGCAATAAAGTGTATCCTTGCAGGGACCCGACTCCTTGCGAGCTAAATGCTGTGTTAAGTAAAGATTTTTCGAGTTACAAAAAGAAAGGACATGGCATGGTCAAATATCTCTCTTTACACTCTTTACATAAAGCCAAAGTAAGAGCACAGTGATCGGACGCAAAAACTTTAGCTTTGTTTCATTTACTTCCACATAAAGTTCAATTTGTTTTCTCTTTTTCGCAGCATTGGTGGCAGCATACCTGTGATATTTACTTTTTTCATTGAATTTCAACATAAAAGTCTTCGCGGAACTATGGGGTGTAGTTTGACAATAGCATGGATGTTTGGAAATGTATTCCAGGCTGGTAGGCTTTTCATCACCAAATGATATTCTAACAAGAATTGTCTGTAATGTTGGACTGTCATACATTTTTGCCTTCTTGTTTTATACTGGATTCTGTTAAGAATGTATTGCTAACGTAGAAATGTCTTCAATTCTATAACTCCGCACAGTATTGTTTTCAATACCAAGATTTCAGATTCTGTACAGAATGTATTGCTATAAAGAAGAACTGTTTGCACTCTTTATAGGCCTGCCAATTCTGTGCTATTTTGTTTTTGAAAAATATTCTTTACCAATGGATCAATCGCATCTAGGAATTCACCTAGAATGTGTTTGACGTTATTGTCGCCATAGTACTGTAAGATGTATTAACAGTAAAAGTTATGTTAATTATAATTATAGTATGTGACACATTTGAGACATATATTTTCATTAACCAGTTTAAGAATGAACACTTTAGTACCATAAATGTACTTTCAGGATTAGCTTGGGCTATAATTCCTAATAAAGTTGGCATTTCGACATCTATATTAGATTATACAGGCTGGAGAATGTTTATTGCTGTTTGTGTCATACCCAGTTTTGTATCAGTATTAATATTAATAGCAATGCCAGAGTCGCCGAAATATCTACTTCAGGTAGGATCAGCTACAGTAAGCCACATTTCAAAACCAAGGTAGGGAATTTCATGATGAACAAATTTTTGCCAGCACATTTTTGTTCAGTACACAGAGGTTATGTTTTTTGATTTCCTTTGTTGTTATTTCTACTGAGAAAAACAAGCTATCTAAAAAATGTCAAAATGATTAATTGCATTAGCACCATTTGTAATATGAAAATGGGCGTTTACCTTATATTCCTTATGGTGTTTGGTTATTATGATATTGATAGGGCACATGCGGTATCTGTAAAATGAGAAGAAAACAAAGAAATAGAGAAAGAAACAACCATTTTTTACCAGGATAAAACTTGTACGAGCTGGTCCTGTACCAAACCTCTTGACATTGATCTTTCCTAGATACTGCGTACCTCTTGACATAGATCCTTCCTGCGTACCAATTTACAGCTGGGTCGACTAGACTTTCCGACATATATTGCACCCACGTCATTCCAACTATCTAACCGACTGCAAAACGTACAATACGTCTTCAATAAAATTAACTGAAACAATAATTATTTTCTAGACCTATCCCTGAGACATAAAAAAGGCAATTCCTGCTGAAACAAGTTATAAAACTGTTATTATATATCCTTTCAGGAGGAACGGAATGAAGAAGCAATTGCTGTGGTAAGAAAAGTATATAGATGGAACAATAACGAAGAGATAGAGGTACATAAAGAATTTAATACCTTTGAAACGTTTTTTCAAATAGTATTTTTCCCTGACACGGTATACGCAGTATTCTTATTGTTTATTATTTAGATCAAAAAAATAATTCTTGCTGGTGATGAAAATACAAGTTTAGTAAAACAAAATAAAGAAGAAGGAAAATTTAAGAATTGTTCAGTAAGTGCATTTAAAATCTGAAATTTTCAAACTCCGTTAAAATACTACCTTGGTTCGGGTCAACTCCTAACACTTCCACTGCCTTTTTTTCTTGCAAGAACGTTGAACATTAACAAGTAAGATATTTCAGTCATCCGTTTAGGTCGATCAAATGCACCTATAGCTCAGTTGCTTTCAGTTGCCCACGAATGTGTTTTACTATCCAAAAAAAGATATGCACTAGACCTCACTCTCTGATGCTGAAATGACTGTTAATCATTATAAATATATTTTTGGAAATATTGTAAAATGATAGTCCTCTCCAAAAACGAATTTCATTTCGTCAAAAGTATTTCATTTATTCATATTATTTCATTTTAGATATTCAATCAAGTTTCAGAATTATTTTCAAAGAAGTATCGATGTTTAAGCTTCATTACTATAGGTGTTATTGGATTTTTTTCTTATGGGTAATGAATTTATTTTATTCAAAACACAAGATATCTAAGCTTTGTAAGTGTAGATATTAACCCTAGAATGAAAGTTTGTGCGTGTCTATAAGTCTAAATAAGAATCAATTACAGCCAAAAATCCAGATCGAGCGAAATAGTATCTTCCGCTGCATTTTTTTCTTCCATGTACATGTTTTAAGATTCCCACACTGAATTATATCAAGTTTGTGCAATCCAGAGAGTGACGGAAATCTCTTATTGACATTTTTATATATTATTGACTTATAGGTATTATGGTTTATTCATGTGGTTTCCAGAACTATTTCGTAGAATGGGTGATATGAATGGATCTTCTTTTTGTGGCCTTTCCTCTAATCAAAATACTACCCCCGTTGTGAGCACTGAGATCGAAAGTTGTAATGAACTGGATAATCAAGTTTACATTGATTCATTAATATCAATGTCTGCTTCTGTTGTCGGTCCGCTCCTAATTGTGTTCTATGTAGACAGAATAGGTCGTAAACCATTCCTTGGTGAGTATTTTGCAGGTTTTATATCTGCTGGGAAAAACATTTTTCCTTTATAAAAGAACTGTTGGTTTGAAATTGAATTGGCTCCCAATCTCATAATATTGAAAGCTACGTTTGGTTGTCAATGTTCTCTAAACCATATAATCAGGATTACGTTTGTTACTTTGAAAAAAAAAACAACGAAAACAAATGCAATCTATAGGGTGAACATGCTAGAAAATGTGTAGTACACCATAAATGTCGACTAAATAATACAAAATTACTCTGTTTTATTTCAGTTGGCGGACTACTATGTGGAGCATTCTCGTTGTTTTTCTTTTACTTTATAACCACCAGGGTTCATGCAATCATTTTAAGTTCAGTTTTTGCACTCTTTGCTTCAATTGTGTTCAGTATATTTGACATAGTAGCTGTTGAACAATACCCAACACATGTAAGGTAAGCTTCAATACAATCCAATCTATTTTGAATTCAGCATTGAATGCGAAATGGGATAAATTGCTCCTATTACTTGTTGCTGGTAATCAGAACACATATCAAATTAATGATCATCCACAGTCATGTAATTTCAATAAAACAATACTTAAAATTACTTTTACCTCAAACTACTGATTTCTGTAGAATACCAACTTCCGTTGCTGATATCCTCTGCTTCTATACTAGCGGATTTAACAAGCACTTTTTGAAAATGTATCTTTTGGACAAGTTTGGAAGACATTCCATATGTGCACGTCTCCAAATCCCTGTTTGATGCACGTAGGACCGTAGACTATTCATGTTTCATTTGTGCACGTTTGGAAAGCGTTCATGTTTAATGATGTATAACTTTAGTTCGTGTTTCATGTAAACAGTTTGTGTTTCATGTTTGCAAGTTTAGAGAACCGTAAACCATACATGTTTCATTTGTGCATGTTTGGAAAGCGTTCTTGTTTAATGAAGTTAAATGTGATAAATTTAAAGAACCACAAACCGTTCTTGTTTAAGTTCCGAAAACTTTTTTATTGATACATTTATAAACCTTATTTTATATTTTACTGTTTCAGGTCGACAGCATTTGGTATATTTTGTGCGGCAATACGTCTGGCCGCAATATTAGCCAATGTTTCGTTTGGAATGTTAATTGACCAGAACTGTTCCGCAATGATAATTACTCCAGCACTTCTTTTGCTTGCTTCAGGAATCCTAGCATTCTGGACTCCAGACATGACTCAGAAAGATATATATTAACAATGCATTTAGTTCTCAGTGACAGTTCTTTCTTTAACTCTTGGAAAAATATTATTATTTTTTTCTCTGTTGTTTTTTATTTGAATTTGTTTTATCTGTTTGTGTGTTCATGATTGTTATCTAATTAAAAAAATGTGAGCAAAGTGAGTGTTTTAATGTTTATTAATCGCCATTCTCGACATGAGGGACTAATAATGCCCTTTGTGATACCTAAGCTATAACGAAACGGCATTATAAATTGGTTGCACTAACTGCATCCTTAGACGATTTAAGATAAACTGCCTATGAAACCAATTATTCACACAGAGAAATTCCCTAGAACTGTAACGATAAGTGAATATTTCATCTGTTTATCAACAGGAAATTGAAGCTTTTAGGTCCGTCTGTGTTAGATTGAGCATTCGACACACAGGGAATAACTTGACGTATCCATTGAGTTAAATCTATTCGTATCAATATTGAATGATCGAAATTAAGAGTTGATCCCCTCGGGCTGAGAATCTTTTATAATTGATATTGATGTATTGGTCATTGGAATCAAACAATAGGTTCATTATGAACAATTCCCCCTTCCCCTCCGGACCGCAAACCAAACTCTAGATGTATGTTCATTTTACTTTCCGCGTGAATATTCATGGTTGTGCATTATTTTTTAATATGCCATTTACGTCCGATTTTATATTGACTGACACGTTTATTGGTCTTTATTCACTATCATGTAGAACAATCTTCATTATACACACATTCGCAATGCCTGAATTTTATTCAATTTCGCAGTTACAATCAAAACTTATATCTCCAGTTCTAATTTCTATTGTTCCTCTCGAGTTTTATTCGCTCTAAACATCCATCGACTGTTGAAATCAGAAAGGAATGAACAATGCCACTCGAAATTTGCCTCGTTGCACATTGCATGGCGTTGTGTTCTTCACGAGCCCTAAAGTAGCAGTAAAGTAGTGCATTTCATTTTTTTTCATAATCTTAAGTGTAAATATATCAGTCTTTTACAGATATTTATATAACAGCTTTATTAGATATTACTTCACTGTATTGGTTCAGGAGTTAATACTTTTAAACAATACATTCGTCAGCTGCATAATTTTTTTCTGAATCTACCACAGTGAAAATATCAAAGGAATAGTAATATAGTTAAATTATTAGCAGTCCACTCAATCATCCAAATATTACAAAATAACCATAGTCGGGAATATATTTGGCATGTATCTGAAAATAGGTACATGTGATAGTAAAAAAAGCGTAATTTCTCAAATTCTACACAACCGTCACATCATGCGATGTCCTAGGCGGTGAGAATCTTGTATTTTCACGAGGTGCCGCAGAATACATAAATGAACTATTGTCCACTCGTGGCAAATTTTGACGACAGAAAAAAGCATACAGAGAACACGTCCTTAAAGAAGTTACGTCACATATATTTCTAATGTCTTTTCGAAAGTTGGAATTAAACCATCCATAAATCACCGGATTGATACACACTGACGAGAAGGAAATTAACAAACACACAGCATGAATTAATGGAAAATTGGTCTGCTGAAAGATTATATGGTTTGTATCCGCTAGGATGTTTAACAACGTCAATGGTAACCATGTAGCAGAAAAAGATATGGCCATACTTGTTAATAACATAACATTTTTTCGATGTCGTAATAACTTATTCCTTATTCGACTCACATCTTGCTGACATGTCTCATGTAAGTCCAAACGGTATTTTAAGGATTTACATATCAAAATATGTAATGTTACTATAGCGACAGCTGGTGATAAATATTGAATTAACAACACCATAACAGTGTAAACCGTTAGTAAGATTTGATATCCCCAATGTTCTGTACAAATGGTATACAGGTCAAAATTTTTCAATCCTTGTAATATTTTAACTTCATGAGCCAATAATAACGGGAATGATAAGGCAACAGATACCATCCATATTCCAGATATGATAAGACACGTTCGTATTCGATTGTTTGATTTTCCCGCTGTATACATTATGGACTTGTAGCGATCTACTGCAAGCGCGAGAATGCTTAAAGTTGAAACGAACACATATGTACTTTGTAATAATGGCACTATTTTACACCATGCCACACCAAACGTCCAATTTTTGGAAATTATCCGAACAACAACAAACGGTTTACACAAAACTATAGTAAGAACGTCTGATATGGCTAAATTCAAAATGTACCAGTTGCGACTAGACTGAGCAAAACCACGTCGGCAAATAATCCACCACAGACCGAGGTTAGCAACTACACCTATTAACATCACCAAGGAGAAGCTTAATACTAAGGCAACTTCTTCTTTAGCATTAAACCAATGGTCATGTTGTTGGTATTCCAAAGCCACATCGAGGAAATCACTAAAGCTGTAATTATCCGAAAAACTGGCACCATCTAATCCCAATTCTTGAAGCAATAAAGCATTCGATAAACTGATATTTTCCATATGGTTTGAGATCTGGCATTCATTTAATTGTCTTCCAAAAGTTTCATCCTTTTTCTTTCACAACTCCTACATGTTTTGTCACATCACAACTTTGATTTTAATACTATATTCTCTTACAGGGAAAACACCATTTATCAGTTTTATTTTTACAAAAGGCACATTAAGCTTAATTCAGTTTCCGTTAATTCTATGATAATTCAGTACGATAGAGAATTCTTTAATGATTCGATAGCTTTCAACACAAATATTAAATAGAAGAAAAGTTCCACAAGTTCTTATGACTCCAACGCGCCTCTCTAACCTTTTATTATCTAATAATGGAAGTCTATTTATATCTCCATCAAATCTTTATTTTTTAACCTATCAGTTTTTAATGGATCAGAATGTAGGTTTCCTGCTGGTTGAAGTCAATGATTTAAGTTTCAAATCACACAGTCATAGCCTAATCAAATAGTTTGTGTGATGGGTTTAGTCAGACACGTGTGAAAACGTTAAGTAGAGCAGCTGAACTCCATTCATGTCCTAATGTCCCGATTTTATGTGCAATTTGTGTAGTATTGCAAAACACATTTTTTCACCAATGACAATTTTAATTGCGCACAAGGTAGACACATTAATCAAAATCAAAATTAATCCATTACTGCACATCTGGTATTTGAAAATTGTGTCATTTAATATTAATTCCTTCTGTCACAGACGCCTGAAAAATGAAGAACAAAAATAACAATAAATATATACATACAAAATTTCACATGATATACGCTGCAGACATGTTGCAACTGATATGCAATTTCAATCAAATTTAGCACTTCTGATGTATTAGGTTTATCTCATTTCACAACCAGCCATATATATACATCTAATCAGATTTTTACCATAGATTACCATACTGTCGTTCACAAATGCTAAATAATAAAAAAGCTAAATAAATAACTTTCAGTTAGTAATCTAAAAGCTAGGAAATATATGTCAGCATTTCGTATCCAAAGATACGTTATCACATAGAAAGATCGAAAGAGTCAAAAAATTGTAATAATCAGGAGAAAATAATATCGAAAAAAAGGTTCAATTAAACTGAAACGTAATTTAATAAACAATCTTAAAGGAATACTACCTCTTCGATTCGAAATAAAAATTAGACAATATATCAAGTAAATTAAGTAATTATTGAAAAACTCTTCTTAGCGTGGATTATTACTTAGTTGTATGGATTTTGGATTATAGAGGGATTCTGTCGTATAGTTTTGACACCTTGTAAGTCCACTGATGAACAAAGACTCATTTTGGCCAAGTTTATAATCTGATCTGTATTTTTCTTCAAGGACAAAACTAGGTTTTCATTTTTGTCAGTTTGAAATCAAATTGACGACTTTTCAGCATGAATGCGTCAATAAGTCGTATTATCTTGGTGATAGTTGATATGAGGGCGTATTTGAAACTGTTATTTCCAAAGCTTCTACAGAATCTCTGTATTTTGCAATCGGATAAAACGTTTGTATTTCTCCATAGGTAAGGAATTAATATCCTTATTAAAGATATATGTTACAACCTTTCAGAAGGTATAAAGTGTGTAGTGTAGTGAAGTACTAATGCAGACGAACTTGGCAAATGAATGATAGGGTTGATAAAAGTCTTAGCAGTTGGAAATAGTTTCCATTTGGCGAATAATGCAATAACTGAATCTGTCTGATCAGATTAGATGGCTATCAACGGGGTGACATAATGGAATTGAAATTGTAAAAGTCATTCATTTTATTGAAGGTGGTTTATAGCAGTGAGGTGGGAAGTTGTAAGAAAGAAATCCTCTCTCTTAATAAGGGGTAGTCTTAGGCATAAGACTAATGAGATGACAAAATATTACTTTCAATATTATTTTGCGATTGTCGTTTAAACTTCAATTTCAAATTGACATTTATTTTTTTGATGAATTAATCATTTTATTTCGTGTGGCTTTTCAATACTCGGAGTCTGTTGAATATACCTCTTTTGTTAAATTTGTCTGGAGCCTTTATACGATTCACGAATATAAATTGAATTAATCTTAAGCTTACATAACTGGCGCTGTCAAAGGAAAATATTCGTCAATAAACTTTTTGATTATTGACCTTATTATTATTGCTTGTAAAGGCACTACGTATATTATATTCTGATCTGTAAGTAATTGTGGAATTTAACTATGAAAATCTGAGAAATGAGACGAATAATTGTCATCATTATGCTTTGGTTTGGTTTAGCTTGGAGTGGTTTGGTATAATATTCATCAGCAAAGACCCAATTAACTATGATAAGACCACGAAAACACTGGTGGCAAATTCAAGTGTTTATCTCAGTAATTGTATCGGTAAATAGGTTTAAATCAAAGCAAATATATATGGGCTTAGAATGTTATTAGCCAGACCGTTAATAATTTGAAAAATCAATTTTTATACGCCACATCAATATGTGTTCGTATATTGTCGTCGCCCCTGTCCGTCGGTCCGTCCCTCAACATTTCTTGTGAGCACTATAGAGACTACACTTTTCATCTGATCAAACTTGGTGTGATGCTTTAGATTAGATCTCTGTCAAGGCCGAATTTGACATATTTTCGATGAATGTTTTTTTTTTTTTAGATATTACCCTTGACTTTGTTAAAACGCGTCGAAATTTGTTAAAAATGGTTCGTGAGCAGGCTCGAAGATACTTTTCTGATAAAACTTGGTATTATAATTGGAATTAATAAGATCTCAGACAAGTTCTAATTTGACGCATTTTCGATGAACGGTTTTGAGTTATTGCCCTTGACTTAGGAAAAACGAATCAAAATCTGTTTGTGAACACATTTGAGACTACAGTTTTCAACTGATTTTAATGAAATTTGGTGTGATCATTTATATTGACAAGTTTGAATTTGATTTTTGATTTGATGAACGGTTTTTGAGTTGTTGCCCTTGACATAGGAAAAACGCGTCAAAAGTTGTTTTTTGCCCTTGATTACAGCTGTGTGATTTGATTATTTGTTGTATTTGGGTTATTGATATTGATTTTAAAAAAATTTGTGGAATTACTCAACATAAATAACTGGCATATATATCTATAATTCAAACTAATAAAATTTCTTCAATATGAGAAAATTCGTTTTATTATTTCTGACAGCTTCCAGTGGGCATATGTTACCTCGCCTTGTAAGCTATCTAACAAAATTCGATACCTTAACCTTGGTTATGGTAGGGACCTATAGGCACCATTCGCCAGTGACATTTAAATCAACCTTTTTTTTCTTTTTATATACCAAATGGATTTCATATGCGAAATATAGTACGTATTACCATAACACTTAAACATTTATTCTGACTAATGTGATATGATTTGTCCCACTTGGATCTTGTACATTTACTTGGCAATCAGTAAATGGCATGCGTTGCCCTGTCTCGATTAAAGCGTTTTGTCGTTCGAATAAGAAAATCTTATAGGGCCTTATAGCCGATAGACAGTTGTAGAAATATCCCTTAATTAATCGCTCACAGCGTTGCGTTACATGTCAGAAGGTAAACAAGTCAAAACGTAAGTAAGACATTCATTTCAATTCATTCTTTTGAAATACTTTTGAAATGATTAATATTTCAAAAATATTAAAGTTTCAAACAACAGATCAGTGACCTTATTGACCTTCAGCACAAATGTCATATAATGTGAAAGGAAGGATATTTGAAAACAAATAACATATCGGAAACACGATCGGATCAATATGACACAATAAAAAACTTTCAACTCTATTAAGCAAATAAATATCAATTTAATGAACTTTGGGCAACATGTGTTAGTGATTATATATACAGAGTTGGAATAATGACTATAATATTACATTCAAATTATAGACCATCGATAGATAGGATACTGATGAAAACAATATTATTTGCCGGATTAAGTTATCTTCTCCGTCTTCCCCTAATACCATTGCAAATCCGCCAGCTGGCTTAAAACAATAATTAAAGCCAAAACATATTTTTTTCTACATTAATACTTTCCAAATTTTAGCATGATCGGAAATTTAGGGCTTATTGTGTTATCCTAGACGCAGGAATGAATAGCACGAATGTAAAATAGCAGACTGTGATTACAACCAATGATGAATTTCAGAACCATTTACGACCGATTGATTATTAACAATTCAATTCCGTTTTTCCCTCTCATTATAAGTCCATTTCCTATGAAATAGGATAACAAACTGTATTAAATATATAAAAGGTTTTGCGTCCACTTTCGTTTTATAATTTGACTTACATGAATATTTCCATGCATTTACAATATATGTGAATGTGCTCATTCAAGAACTACAGTTGGTTTAATTGATAGAAATGCAAAACTTCCCCTCAGAGCCCCAGACTCCGACCATTTACGATCTAACAGCAACACAAAATGTACTTGTCGCGGTCAAGAAGAAAACTAAAGAAAAACACCCTAAAAAATTATTAACTTTAAAACTGTCAACACCTAACCACGAGTTATGCGACAATATTGCTTTCTAACCTTTTTACAGCGTCTTTTCCACGCTATTATAAGGAGAAGCGACGACCCTCTTGGTCATTTCAACGCGTTGACTTTTGTTTTGATCATGTCCAAAATACGAAGAGTGGCGACAATAACGACACGCTTATGCCGACCTCTACATGCTTTGAGCCCATGTTCCATTGCAGTAGCAGCGCAGTAAGAACGCCATTTTGGTGTGAAAGAGCCATAAAGATTTACAAGCTCACAAACAGTCGCATTTATACAGCAACTTTTGTGACAATATTGCCTATAGCGAACGTTTTTTATTTAGATTTATGGGATTGATAAGGGAGTCCGCTGGAGATCTTGTGGCG